GTACCCTCATAAGTGTTGCGTTAAGTATGCGACTGTTTCAGGTATTTGTGCCTCTAAATTCCACTAGGACAGGGGCTGCAAAACCTGCCCAACATGGAGGATACAAGTATATTTGCCTTATCGGGGTTCCAGTATATCATCATGTCTATTGTGATGACTAAAGGATATCCTTACAAAAAACCACTGTATTACAATGGTGAGAATTTTAACTTGACCCTAGACCTGTTTAACACACTGTTAAACTGGCTTGTTTGACCGAAAATGCACTGTAAACATTAAAATAATGACACAATTTGTTTAAAAAAATGTTTGACTAAACCAGATCATTTGAGCAGTTTGTAGATTCACGTTGGTGTTTGTGTTTTAAATGTAGATTTTGCCTATCTATGTAAATGTGTTTCCCCTCATCATGCAAATTAGTTTTCACGGTGATCAAAAATGATAGAATATGTAATAATTCTCAATGGCCCACTCCTGATAACCATTTAATAATTTGTTGACATTATTAAAGGAAATGCTCAATGCAGATGTAGTCTATGTTTAGTTATTTTAAATGTTTTGCTCTTCTTAGTTTTGTTCCTAGTGGCACTGCTTCTCTTCTTAGCTCTTATGAGCTGGCTGGTGCTTTTCCATCATACCATCATCCATCGTGTGCTGAATCTCTACGACATCATTGATATGAGATATAAACTACTGCTGGTGGCCGTAGCTGCACTCAACTTCTTCATATGCTACTTGATTGAGGTACAGACAAATACATGTCATCTGGAACATGAAACCAATATCAGTAATTGCAGCAAGTTATTTCTCTTTACAGATTCTTATTGACCAAGGTGCCCTGAACTGCCTTCGCAACCTCAGGGGAAAACGCGAGTCCAAAAAGCAGTTCAAACGCCTAGACGTCCAGCTTGCAGAAACGCCCTCATGGCCGCCCCTGAACCAGACCTTGTTCCCACCACAGTGCACCGTCATCGGTGTTAGCTAACACCTACCTCCTGTGTTTTCCAAATCTCCCAATGCACATATCCAGTGTTGCCAAAGATCTGATAGCACCTCTCAGTGCACTAGTGAGGTATGCATACCAGATGCCGTCCTTGTCTGCCTATTATATATGGCAAAAACTTATCGTACAGTAACACGAGTGAAGATCACTGTTAGTGATGGTATTTCTTATATTAGAACACATAAATGAAGAATTAAAAAGTCTTAACGTCTCTTAAAGGTGTGCTGTATGATTTAGAAAAGGGGTGGAAACATATTTACCAATTTGTACATGAAAATTAACATTTTATACAGAAAAAAGGGCATATTGCCTTGAGAACTGATTGATTACTAACATTAATCCAAAATAATGAGAATGTCTTTTCTTGGACCATAAAAGTTTTACCAAAGCATTCAAGTTGTCGTATTGGAAAAGTAATGCATACATGCTGCCTACTTTATTTCCTAGTGAAACAAAATTATTGAAAAAGATATTTTTATCTGGGCAGGAACTTGGTTTAATTGTTGATTAGTTGGAGGCATGCTTGCAGTCGATTGTAAGAAAGGGGGCGGGGTTTAAGCAAATTAAATTATTGGAGACATCCACCATGTGTCACCATAGAGAAAGCTGATGCTTTCACCAGGGTCCAGTCATTACATTTTAATAAAAAATTACAAGGCCAAAAAAAATTCTTCAAAATAAAACATGTAAGGGGAAAACATTCTTTATACGTGGATTTTTTCAGTTTTCTGGTTTGACTGTTGATAATTTGACACGATCCAGGATTGTTAGGTTCTTCGATGCTCATCCTGTAGTTGCTGTCATAGCAACAAGTCTATAAGCTGAAACCTGCTCAGGAGCAGCTGAGATTTGACTGCATCTTTTTTAAGGTTAAAGTCAGGAAGTACTTTCTTACCAGAGCACCCTATTGAACTAGGGACAATTAAAAAAAAAAAAATATATATATATATATATATATATATATAATTGTTGAAAATAATTAAGTTGTATCATCTGTAATAGACAGAGCCTTACATTACAGTTTGTGACCTCTATTATACTGGTGGCTTGGTGCAGATAAACTTACACAACGTACAAAATGTTGTCTGCTGTGCCATTCGAAATATCTTAGTGACCCTTAAAGTGATAGTTCACTTTGAAATTAATTTTTTATATGTTTTAGCTTACCTCAAGGGCATCTAAGATGTAGTTGTCTTTGTTTCCACAGTATTTTCAATTTTGACATTTTTAGGTCAAACCGTTCTCGTCTGTCATTCATATAATGGAGGTCTATGGTCACCACCACAAAGAGCATGCACATTGCACAGAGAAGTCCAAATTAAACATGATTTAATTACTTGTAAATGTAAGTACACATTGATGGCCAAAGACACGAAACGAGCGGCAAGAGATCACTTCCAGCGCATGAGCAGACCGAAGCGCCCATTTCTTCAGATCACTTGGACGTGGCTGTGGTTACAAGAGGTAAAAACGAGTCATTAATTTTACGAGTCGAGTCATTAATTGATTTATGATTTACGAGTCATTAAATCAAGTTTAATTTGGACTTCTCTGTACATGCTCTTTTAGGAGATCCCCATAGACTTCCATTATGAATGACAGACGAGAACGGTTTGACTGAAAAATATCAAAATTGAAACTATTCCAGAAATGAAGACACCTACATCTTGGATGCACATGAGGTAAGCTAAAACATATAAAAAATTAATTTCAAAGTGAACTATCCCTTTAAGAAACTTTATCCACTTCACATTTACAAATAAATTAATTGCTAATTACCCTAGGCCTAGACTACTCTTGACTCTGATAAAAAGTTAAAATCCTGTTCAAATAGAAGAAATCATGTAAAATTGAAATGTCTAACAAATATTTGTCTATTAGAACTTCTATGTCTTTGTCTGTTTCCTTTTTTAATTATTTTAAATATTAACAACCACTGCATCACTGAGTATAACTTAGCGTATCGATATATCTGTCCTTTCCAATGAGCACACAGTAATATAGATATTTTAATCAAATCTGCAAATTAGTTTGAAGAGCCAAATTAGCCAGAGATCAGTTATCACAATTAGAAGATCTGGCATCTCAGATGTATTAAGCAAAGAATGGAATAGTGGATTTTCATTTAAAGCTGACTTAATCATCAAGACACATCATGAAGAGAACAGACCTTTCAAAGGGAGGGAAGGTTAGAGTTTTGATTACGAGGGCATAATTTGAAGAAGAAAACAAATTCTGTGCATTGATAAATCCTTTATAACAAATACTGCAACATTCTGTGAAAAAAAAAACAAAGATTAATTGATTTGGATTCCACGGTGACTAAATATTTTCAAAAAATGTTTTCCAGAGACGTTATTTAAAAAGTCTTTATTAAATGGGCATTTTGAAAAGTATTTACAGACAGATTTCTGTGTTCTCAGACAGGGCATGACACCCGTCTGGTCTGATTTGTTACAGCACAATGGTTGAACAATGACATATCAGATTAAAGGGTATTTCCATAAACTGCAGGAGTCAGAGATATCATTCCTGGACAGCACAGGAGACAAAGGCTTAGGAAGGAAACTTAAAAAAAAAAAAAAAGAAAGAAAAAAGCAGGGAGTTACAGTTAGGAAAGGTAGTATGGCTCTTCATGTATAGACATTGTATTGCAAGAGCCAAAGCAACTAAGTCAACTGACTCAACACTCCAATAAAGTTGCGTTGTCAAGCCACCGGTGTGACACTTTTTCTCTTAGGTTTCAATAAAGTTAAATAATCTCTTATAGGATATTCTGTAATCCAGTCATAGAGGTGTCTTTCAAATGATCTTGAAGCCATACTTCATGTAAGCTTAACATTGCACCATCATTCAATTAAAAACCTATTCACTGATACACAACTTCATTCATTCGCTCATATTTCCTCACAACAACCTGAGTTCCTACATAAGTAAAGAAAAGAAAATGGCCAACAGCAGATCTGACGAGGAAGTGAGGCGAGGGGAGCCAGCGAAATCATCCCCCACCCCCCCCCCCCCCCCCACCCGCCTCACTCCCTTCGGTTCTTCCCAGCACAACAAACATTTATAGAACTCATCCTTCTGTTGGATTTCACTTAAAAAAGCACAGATCTAAAATTGACTACCTTTAAAATCATATAAAAGCCATAGAAATGGGTTAAAAATGCCATTCGCTGCAATCATTTAATTCTGGACTAGATTTTGTTTTTATTCTTTTCACTTCATGTAGAAATCAGGACAGTCAGAGGAAGACTCATGAGTAAAACAATAACAGCAACAAAAAAGTAACCGTAAACAATAAAGAACTTAAAGTCAGCTTAAGTTTCCGCATTATACCCTCACTGTTTCTTACCCATTTAAAAACATATGGCAATTATCAGACCGAGCCAGTAATAACCAAAATTAAAACAAAAGACAAACCCAAGCAATACAAAAGCTTGAGAGTACAGTGTGGAAGGGAGGTCTGAAGAGTGATATTTCTAGAATTATTGCTGAAGGAAGCTGGTGCCTCGTACCATCCTTTTATCGGTTCAAGCACATCCAGCACTTGTGAGCTTCCATTTCAAATGTCTCTTCAGAGGGCTTGCTTGCATGACTTTTCAGGCTGGCTGCCAGTGATGGCTGAGTTACGCGAGGAAGGGACAATAGTTCTGCCATTCGGTTTAGATTCTCTCTATTTTCCTTTTGATTTTGAGGGGTAGGGGCTGGACATCACAGTGAGCAGCGTCCGGAAGCGAGGTCCTCATCACAGTGTAAAAAGCAGGGAACGTTCCCCATCCGCTCCTCTGGATCATGTTCCTTTCCCCCGTTACATTCCACACACGCCGTGCTGAATTCAAGAGGGTTTTTTATACTTATTTGAAAAACATCCCACATCCTAAATATTGATAAAAATGACTTGATTTTCAACCGTATTTTGGGAGACCGTATTTCACTATCGCCTCTCGCTTCCTCCCAGGAAAGGCTGCTATTCCTATCTGCGCTGGTGAAAGCCTTGTGTACCATCTGGACCTGCTGGCTGTCGAACAACATGGTTTCCTGATCGGTTTTCCTCTGAAAGTGTATGGCTGCTTCCACGTGGAGATCTGATTGAGGATAGACAATATGTAAAATATCAAAGCATTCTGACATTTAAAATTGTCAAAATTGCCGCATCCTTGGTTCTGGAAGTACTTTTGCATTAATTCTCTTCAGATATTAGTACTAGAATAGTTCTAAACTATAAACAACTTAAAGTTTGAATGGAAACACAAAGAAAGTATCTGAAAATTGTGTATTTAATTGAAAAATACAGAATACAGGCAGGAGCCAACTTTGGAAAACAGTCGAGAAGTCGAACCACGAACGCCGAGCCAAGTTCTGGCTCATTCACATCTCAGCAGCGCACTTGGCTCGTCGTTCGACTGCTCGAGACTGTTTTCCAAACGGTCTGTACAATTACAACGTTCTCAATGCTTCGGTTTGCATGTAGGGACCCTCATTATGCTACTGTGTTAGAGTTGGGCTATTTTGAGCCTTGTTAGTGGTTTTAACTAGCGATTTTTATTTTCATTACTCTATGTCCCATATACTAGCGTTAAAAGCTAAACAGTTTTTTGAGATAAAACTCTTTACATTCAATAATCATGAAAAAAAATCTCAGAGAACGATCGACTATGTACCAACGTGTAATTCATTTTTGCTGTCGCTAGGGTGCGTCTAGATTTCTAGGCTCGCTTTTTCATAACTGTCCTTTTTACACTTAATTTTTTTGACAGAAACTTTCCTTAATCTGACAGAGTTCTTCTGTGCTCTAAAATACGCACAAATCTTTTGATAATTCAATAATCTCTATTCAGTTTTTGCAAGATATTAGTTGTTTTCGTGCCCAGGCAAGACATAGCACCATTTCATGCTTTTCATTTTCAGAAAGACCTTATCCTACTAATGTCACTTCCATAATAACTTGGAACAGTATAAAAACACACACATGTCTCATTAAAAAAAATTACTTTTAGCTTCCAGAACCATGACAAGTTTTGTTCTATTCACCATGTCAGTATTTTACCGGTCTGAAATGGGTCTCTCCTGTGGAGTGTCATCAGGAGTAGCACTGCCAAGGATTCTCTTCCTGGCCTCTGCGTATTCTGCCTCTCGCTGAGCTAAGGATTTAACTTGCGGGGAGGGTCGAGTCTGCGTCACAGACGATCCTAAAGATCCATTACTGGAGGGTCGCTTCAAAATACGAATCTGTGGTGGGGGAGCTGCGGGGAGGGAGTCGTCCTGAATTACGATTGCTGTTCTCATCAGAGGACGACTCGAACTGCCACTTGAAAGTCTGGAAGAGCATAACAATTATTTTTTTTATGATTATTAAAGTAAATCAAGGCGCATTGAGCAAGACATGGACACAAAACACAGAAATGACCTGACATACCTTTCTTTCTGACTGATTCGAAGCTTTTCCTCTAGTCTTCTCTCCATTTCCTAAGTTCAATGTCAAGACAAAAAAAAAAACAATTTTAAAAAAGAAATATAGAAATATAGCAATCTTCCAAAACGGTACATGCAGGCTGCTTCAGGGAGGGGCCTATGAAGCCGCAGCAAGTTTTCAATTTCACAAAGTTATTTATACATCCATAGTGCCATGGCTAAATTAATGACAGGGCCGAATTACATAGTGCTGCTTGGGTAGGTTGACAATATAAGGCTTTTCTAAACAGAGACAGGGGAAACATACAAATGGAGGGAAACGTTTTTACAGAGTTTAGTGGAAGGGGTGTAGACGTTACTGCCAAACCTTTAAGAACATTAAGTCTCGGAGTTCAATATTTGAAAATAGATAAATTACATATTGCTTTATCAAATATATTCACTAAATCTGAGCGAAGAAAACCGGAGACAGGGTAACGTTTAACCAATTCACACAAATTGACTTCTTCTGTTAAAGGGCACAGTTAAAGGGACAGTACACACAAAGTTGAAAATTCTGTCATACATTTAATCATACACTTTATTGTAAACTTGCATGACTTTCTTCTGTGAAACACAACAGAACATGTAAGACGGAATATTATTCTCAGTCACAATTTACTTTCAATGTATTGAAAAAAAAATGTAATGAAAGTGAATGGATACTGCTGAGACTGTCAGTCAATAAGATTCCGCCTCAACATAAACTATTATGTTGTAGATGAAAACAATTAAACAAGTAATTCAACGTTTTTATTTCTTTTATTAAATAAAGACAGCAGGATTTGCAAACACATTAACCCACGTAACATTTAACGTTACAACAGACCACAAGAGAAACTGAAAACTCGTGAAAATCACCTATTGATGGGACATCTAAATGTGAACTATCCCACGATACTCGATATTTCCACATAAAATCACTTCTGTCCACACATATAAATACAAGATTACAATACTTTATGTACTCTATGACAGCCAACAGGTCTCAGTGCATTCGGCAGCCATCTTTGGTTTCTGACGCGATGGCAAAGAAAGATTCCCCCTTTTAAGCACCAGAAGTTGAACCGGTGTGGTGAAGAGATGGGTCCCCCTGAAGAGATGAGTCCCACCTTAGGACCCCATAGTATGCCAGTAGTATGCCTGATCAAAATATGTTCTCGCGATAACTTGATAAAAGCAGTTTGTTGCCCTCAAGTAATACGTTTATTTGTTTAGCGCTTTTCAAGTAAAACCTTTATTTGTTTAGCGCTTTTCATAGTAGGTTGCGTCAACAGCAGAGGAGAAAGTCCGCGAAATTGTATAAATATTAATAAATATTACTGTTATTTTGTCATGAAATGTAATTTTAAGAGTTTAAAAGTCGATAAAATAGTTGTTTAAAGCTCAAATCTGTGGTTTATTTATAAAGATAGCGCCTTTTTAAAACATTGTTCTGATTTAGATTTGTTCTGTAGCCTGCTGACTTATTGACTGAATCTTTTAACTTGTTTTATTTCTTGACTTGTATGAGCTTATTTTACCTTTTAGGCTACTTATTAATAATGTCTATTATTGATCAATAAAACTGAAATTTAACAAAAAGTGACAGGATTGTGTCATATTATTTCATGTACCTTATATAAGAATTTTTGATAACACTTTAGAATACGGTTGGTGAATAACTACACAAGAACTAATGAGTAACACAATATTAACAATCTAGTAACTATTATTAACTAACAAGAAACTCTGATTAACGAACTAGTAAGTAATAGCGCACAGACGAAAGTGGTAGTTCACTATTAAGTAATTAATAACTACAATTTTTTTACTTCCCAGAGAACTACTGAAAAAGTTTATTAACAATCTAGTAACTACTATTAACTAAAAGAAACTCTTATTAACGAATTAGTAAGTAATAGCTCACAGATGAAAGTCTTATTAGATACTTCTGTGGGAATTACTAATTATTTGGATTCGTATTATAAAGTGAAGATCATTGGAACTAACTAGTAATGACTCAAGTGTTACTACATGATCTAGTCATGATTTGTGCAACCGTTTGAGATTTTTGGTGAACTTTAGTAACTTTTAGAAAATGTCTTGAGTCATTACTAGTAGAATACTGAAGAATGTGACTGATCACATCTTCTTTTCATCAGTTAGGGTACACCAGTAACTGAACAGAAACTGTTTAGAAAAATAAGAACATGATACATGATAGAGACATGTACAGGAAAGAGCAAGACAATTATAATAATCATGAATAATATAAATATCAAATCTGTTTTCTGTATCATAGTTAGGATGGGATTCTGTGGCACTCATTTGTGTGGTTTCAGCAGTGGTGAATAGATGTAAATGTATTTTGATGATCCATTGTTTTTAATCTTTTTGTACATAGTTTATGCTATTTTATCAACTTAACGCTGTATCCTCCAATGAAGTGTTGTGTATTAAAGTATTGTAAACATGGTGTGAACGTGGTGTTCAGTTCTACAATGAATAAAATATTTTACTAGGCTCATACGAGTTTATTTCCTATAATAGACGAAAAAATCCTAGCCTATCTACTGCATTAAAAATGGAAGCAAGCACATTACTGATGTCAGAAATGTAAGACACAAGAAGATTAAATTTTGGCAAAAAAATTATCAAAGTTTGTTTTTCATGATGGACAGATATGCTGCACTTCAACAGAGGGACAGTAACACCCCTGGTTAGGATACAATTGACAGGATACTTTCTCTTGCTGTGTTTACTAAATAATGTTGGACACAATTTTCAGACACTTATGTAAAAGTGGGAAAAACTTTTTTTTTTTTTTTTTTTTAATTTTAAACCATACAAGTCCGACAAAACTGAAGAGATTTCACTGTCTGTCCTAACACACCACACAGAGACAGATGCGCACAACCGTGGATATTCCACTGTCCATGAACCCACTATTTAGTACAATGGAATATGTGCTACGTGGGATGTCCATATCTCAGGTCAGGAGAGGTGTAGAGAGCCAGGACTTGTCTCATTGCCCTCATCAGAATCAGACATTTTTCTGTCGCCATCCACAATGAATATGCTCATCACGAACGGGGGTTAGGAAACGCTTAGAAAGCGGCTAGGGCCCTCAAACTCTGGGGCCTGACTCAAGGTCCCTAGACGACGGAACTCGCCAAGTTTCGGGGTCCTGTGACCTTCCGTGTCCTTATGGCAGCTCGTTTCGTTAGTTTGACCTTTTTGACCCCTGTCAGTTTTAAAATTAGCTTTTTTTCAGCCTTTTTCAACCTTTCGACTATTGAACGAGGTCCCAGGGCCACCAAACTTTCCCACCCGCACCAGGGGTCCATGGCAAGATGAAAAATGTTGCCCCCCTAGTCGCAAGGCCATTGCGAAGCGGTGTCCACGAAACCACTATGGCAAATACAGTCATTAAATGGGCGAGTGGGATTTTGACAGAAAGGTCCCAGGGGCCCCAAATTCAGCAAGCTGACCCTTGGGCCCTACTCAAGTGACATACCGAAAGCGCTGGGCTCTAGGGCTAAGACAACACTTTTTTACCCTTTAACCCTAATCTCAGCCCTACAGTCTCTTTGACTCATGTACCTTAAGAGCCTTTTGAGTGAAAGTTGGTTAAAAGTGGCACACTTGCTACAGGAAGGTTCTAGGTTTTCACCCTTCGCCGTGCATCGGGGACCCATGGAGGGTCCAAATCTCAAATCTCAATGTACCATGACCCTGCATCTGCGTACGGGGGCCGTCCCACGGGCCACTTATCGGCATAGCGATTTCGCAGACAAGTTTCCCTTTTTCGATCTTTCGACCACCACCAAACGTTTCCGCCCGCACCAGGGGGGCGTGGCAGAAAAACGGCGCCCCCTAGTTGATCGGCCATTTCGAAGAGGTGCCCGCGAAACCACTATGGAAAAATACATTAATTTAATGGGCGAGTAGGATTTTTACAGAAATGTCGCAGGGGCTCCAAATTCAGCAAGCTGACCATTGGGCCCTCCCCGAGCGACATACTGAAAGCGCCAGGCTCTTGAGCGAAGTCAAAACATTGTCAGCCTCTAACCCTTACGCTAACCCTAACTCACGGCCGCTTCTTTGACCTTGTGACCCCTGAACGAGGTCCTAGGGCCACCAAACTTTTCGTCCCGAGCGACATACCGAAAGCACCGGGCTCTAGAGCCAAGGCAAATGTTTTTTAGCCTCTGTGCAAAATTTCTTGCTCAAGGATGTTTCAATCCCACCCTGAAAGAGCCTTTCAGGCTCTTAACTGATTTGATGAAGGGGGAGGGGCGATTTTTAGCAAAGGCCCTAGAGTTCCATGCTTCGGGGCCCTGCGTCAGGGGCCCCTAGAGAGTTGGAATCTGATATCCCAAGTTACCACGACCCTGCGTCTGCATACAGGGGCTGTCCCACGGGCCATTAAAAAGGCATAGCGGTTTTGCAGATGGGCCTTTTTCGGCCTTTCGGCCCCTGAACGAGGTCCCAGGGCCACCAAACTTTTCAAACAAAAAAAATCCTTGTAGCCTATATCTACTGCATTAAAAATGGACGCATACACAATAAAAAAAATGTTGTCCATAATGAAGTATGCCAGTGTTTCCCAACCCTGTTCCTGGCGGCACACCAACACTCCGTGTATTCTTTGTCTCCCTAATCAAACACACCTGATTCAACTCATCAGCTCATAATCAGATGGGTTAATGAGCTGATGAGTTGAATCAGGTGTGTTTGATTGAGGAGACAAAGAATACACGCAGTGGTGTGCCGCCAGGAACAGGGTTGGGAAACACTGAAGTATGCACTTCATCATGGACAATATACTGCTCTTCCACAGGGGTCCAGTAACACCCCTGGTTAGGATACAATTGACAGGATACTTTCTCTTGCTGTGTTACAGCATGTTTGTGTGTTTTTCAGAGTTCCTCAGCCTCCACGTCTCATGACCTGACTGCATCATCGAGGCCTCAAGAAAAAAAATTGACTGCACATACAATATGAATCAATTACAGATTTAACTTTACATACAGCAAAAGACACTGCATCTATTTGAGTATAATTGGTTAATCCAGGATGGACCTAAAAAAAAAAAAAACACTGTCTCTCAAAATATTTAACCTTACAGTTCATTCAACATTGTTAACACAGCTATGAAGATATTTTCATTCGATCTTTACACTGTATAGCCAGAAGGATTATCACAAAAGTATTTGGGAAATGAAAGTTTCCTATAGTCTGTTTAAAGCTGTTTTGTATTGTTGTGCATTTTAAAAAGCTCTATAAATGTCCATGTAAATGTTCATTTTGCTTGTAGTTCTGTGTTAATAACAATATAATCCATTACATCTCATAATTCAGTTGAAATAATTTAGTATCGTATTGTGTAATTTAATCAGATGTCATTTTTATAGCCTGTAAGTTTTGGTTCACTAATTTTATTGCATTGAATGCTATTGTATTGTATGATGTTCTGTTTTAAGAAATAATTATGACAAATCATATGAATTAGAACACAAAATGACATGAATGTAATTTTTAAAAATGTCGTTAAATAACAAATAACTTAATGTTGCAAAACATACCTGAAAATGCTATTTATTGCATTAATCAGGATAAAAAATAAAATTATGATATAAATAAAGTTTGATAATGATTACATTATACGATTTGTGATTCAGTCATTTTTATTACACTGTCTTGTAATCAAGGGTAGACAAACATATTATATGAATTAGAACACAAAATGACATGAATGTAATTTAAAAAAAATTATTATGCCTTATTGTTAAATAACAAATAACTTAACGTTGCAAAACATACCTGAAAATGCTATTTCTTTCATTAATCAGGATAAAAAAATAAAATTATGATATGAATAAAGTTTGATAATGATTAAATTACGATTTTTATTACACTCTCCTGTAATCAAGGCTAGACAAACAATTCAAATGATCAACATCGCACTGATTCTAAAGACAAAAACAGTGACAATTATAATTGCATTTCGAATACGGTAAGGCAGTATAAGCTGCGGTAAATCTCAGCTAGCACGAATCATCGGATAAATGCTATGCTACTAAGCTAACTAAAAACACTAAGAACGAGAAATGTTTAAATGTACAATCTACAGCTTCGGTTATATACTAGTATATAAAACATATAAGTTAAAATACATTAATGACTCGTTATAACGTACTTCAAACGTCTCTTTTAATAAAGTGATTTGTACCAGGCATTAAAGCGATTACCCATAAAACTAGCTTTGAACCAATCGGATCGCTTGGGTCCTAAGGTGGGACTCATCTCTTCAGGCGGACCCATCTCTTCACCACACCGGCTAACTAGCATTAGTTAGCAGGTAGTTTATGTCCTTTGCTTAAAACACAAATTGTTTTACGTGACTCGCGAACGTTCCGCTTCAACTGCCATCATTAAATTCGCCTCTATTTTTACCAAACGTTACTGGTTTACAGTATAAATATCCCACATCATCTGTTTTGGGACCAGTTTCCCTTTAACTGCGGCCTACCAGCCAACTCTAAATACACAGGCGTGACTAGCGAGCTAGCATGAAGCCAGTGGCAAGAATCACCCTAAAGCTCCACGCGAGGCTTTCTGCACTGGAAAGACAGTTTGTGCAAGCGCGGAGATAGCGCAACTAGCCCATATTTACCCCACTGTCGGCGGCCTCCTCCCAGCTCTCGGCGACTTCATCATCATCCATGTTTCCACTCTTGGCTAACTAGGGGCTTCCCTCAGTCCACACGCTCACGCACATTTCCCTCTACAGCGTCAGTGAGCCGCTTAGTGAGCTAAAGTCTTACACAGTAGCGCCACCTGCTGCAGGGAGGACAGCATTACTGACTGTACAGGAGCGTGTGGACAGTAGAATTTCAAGAGCCACATTTGTGAAGTTAACACACACACACACACACACACACAAACATTGTAGCAAATGATTAGAAGATAAAATCTCAATAGCCTACTGCCCCCCATTTTACTCAACCGTTAAATGAAGAAAGAATGAAGAAAGAAAAAAAAATGTTTCCGTTTCTGTTTGGAATGCCAGATTTTATGGGAAATGCACATGTACTTTTATTCATCATAAACAGCACAGACGTAAGTATCAATAAAATGGACTCAATGCAGTGCGCATCAGTTCCGACAACAACACAACACAACAGAACTCACTACTCATTTAAAGAAATAAAGAAATAAAACATATAGGTCTAACAATTATGAACGGAGAAAAAGGGGCTTCATGCAGAGTAAAGCTAGCAGACCGAGAGTTCGCACTAGGCTACTGCGCGTTTTCTACTGCGGTCACGCTATCTGTGCTTCAGATGGCGTGACCGCAGTGCATTACTGCGACGAGCAGAATGTGTAATGTGTACCAACCTGTCTATGGTACCAAGCAGTTTAGTAGCCTTTTAAATGGTAGGTTAGCCTAGCGACAAAATAAAACGTCTAAAATACAAATATCAAGTGACCGGTCGGCTCCAGTCTACATTTCTTAAGGTATTTGCTAATATGAATTAATTATTCATTAAAAAACAGCATATAGCCAATTATTAATGATTTAATGCGAGTTTCGCTTTGTACTAAATCGTTTAGCAACAGCATAATAAATCATAATATCATATTTCGATGACGCTTGTATCACAAAAGATCTTTTAAAAACATTTTATGTTTTGGTTAATAACTATGAAACTTAATCACAGCTTATCAAGGGAAATATGGATGGGACAACACGGGATGCGATTAGTCAAGTTCAGGGTATCCCATTTCCAGAGCGGGTGGTGAAGCACTGGGCAAGAGTGGAGCACTTCCAGGCGTCAAAAGAGGATTTGCTCATTGCTACATATCCTAAAGCAGGTAGAGTACAGAAGAAGAAAAGAACATCACGAAAACAAGGCAAATCAGTTTAAATAATAAAATCATATCGTCTGTAAAAGGAACCACATGGACACAGGAAGTAGTGGATGCTATCCTGAATGAAGGAAATATGGAAAAGTGCAGGCGCGCGCCCACTCAGGTGCGCATGCCCTTCTTGGAGATGACAACCTCAGACGGTTTATATGCTGGTATGTTTTATAGAACCAATAACTGTTTAGCAACTTAAACACACACACACACACACACACACACACACCGTAGGTGTAGCCGGTTTTATACCGTACAAACTTGGTTTTACAAACACCCTCCACCTACACCCTTACACCTTTAAAAAAAAAACAGTTTTGGATGTTTTAAGCCATTTGAAAGTGTCCTTGTAAACTATGAATACGTTGTAATACCTATCATTATACACATTTGTGTCATAAACCATAGGCCATGGACAGTAGAAATTCAATTCAAGAGTCAAACATGAGTTATAGCAAATGGTTAGTAAATAAAATAGCTCATATAATAGCCTACTGTTTTCTGTTTTATTTTACTTAACCATTAAATGAAGAAAGAAAAATGTTTCCGTTTCTGTTTACCCTATTTGTGTCCTTGTAAACTATGAATATGTTGTAATACCTATGTCATTGTACACATATAATGACACAGACACACACAGACACACATTTATATATACACACATATATGAGGTATCCTTTATACATCTTAAATGGTTAAACTGTGTAATGTTTTAGGTATAACTAAGCTGGAGGTTATGGATCCGCCTCGTGTTATCAAGACTCATCTTCCTATCCAACTTGTGCCTTGTTCTTTCTGGGAGGCTGGTTGCAAGGTCAAAATAAGTTTTTTGTGGGCTGTACTGAAAAATATAAAATATTTTATGTGAATACCAACTGCATTTCTCCATAGGTTATATATATGGCCCGTAATCCGAAAGACACTGTGGTTTCATATTATCATTTTGACCGCATGAATCTTACCCAGCCAGAGCCCGGCACTTGGCAACAATATCTGGAAAAGTTCATGACCGGGCAATGTGAGTCATGCTGCATAGACCATTCATTCATTCATTCATTCCACCAATTACCTTATTCTGTGTTGTGTAAAATGTGAATGGACTAAATGATGATGACTTGAATGAAATAATGATTGTATAATTTTTTCAGTGGGTTGGGGATCCTGGTATGACCATGTTAAAGGATACTGGAGGGAAAGGCAAAACAAGAAAATCCTTTACACATTCTTCGAAGACATGAAAGAGGTCAATCTGCTTTCTACAAAACGTATATATTTTTTTTCCTATAAAAAAGTCTCAGTACTTCGGTCTTAGTTTGACTATAATTTACTTATGATCTTTGCAATGGAAGTGAATCAATCAAAACTTTAACTGGATAATAACTTTATTTTAGAGCTACTGTAAAGCTAAAACAATCTCTGTTACTTGAATTTCCCATTATCACTGTAAAGATGCTTTGAAACAATCTATATTGTTAAAAGCGCTACATAACTGAAGGTGGCTTGACTTGACGATTTATTTATAATTTCAGGACCCTGTTCGTGAAGTAACCCACATTGCTCAATTCCTCGGAAAGCAGTTATCAAAAAGTGTGATAGATCACATTGTGCAAATGACCGCTTTTTCTGCCATGCGAGAAAACCCCATGGCAAACTACTCAACTATCCCAGACACAATCTTTGATCGTACCGCCTCAGAGTTCATGAGAAAAGGTTATTTTCATTTTATTTTTAAAGTATATTGCTCAACATGGCCTAAATCATTTTACATATTCCTTTTCTCAATTTGTATTTCTTGTATTTTACAGGTGAGGTTGGTGACTGGAAGAATCATTTCAATGCAGAAGAGGATGCTGCTTTTGAGGAACATTACTGCAAATTAATGGCTGACTGTCCTATTCCAATACGGTTCACAATATGAAAGCGCTTTTCACAATATAGATTGCATCAAAACAGCTTTACAGTCTATTTCCTAGTCCAGGAAACACAATTACAATTTCCTAAATAAATTAATATAATTAATTACATGTAATCCTATTTGCTTCTTATTGTCTCTATACCTGTGCATTGATGGCCAATAGAATATAATATTTATGTACTGTAAATGGGTTGTAGCCATTATATAAATGGGTAATATGTATGTACTGTAAATGTGTTTTGAACTCATTCAAAACTCTTGTATGCAGGGTAAAGTTCAAGTTCCTTCATGAAATCAATGGGACATACATGTTATCATATCCGGAAATGGAAATAAACCCCACTAGACTCTAGAGGGCATACATTTATTTATGATTATTTTTTTTTTTTTTTTAAGTTTCACAACTTTGAATCACAGGATCTGACCTCAGAAGAAAAGAAAAAAAAACTATTGAAATACATTAATAGATTAAAACTTTGTGGCTATAATAAATCAAGTCTTCATACAGTTGTAAAAAGTGATCAAGGCCTAAGTGACCTTTGAGACCTGCCAAACCTCCAACTCTTACATCTGCAAATAATAAAGGTCTTTCACATGGGTGAAGTTCGCAAACAACACGACACAAAATAAGGTCAGTGATATTGATGATTTTTATTTGTTACGATTGTTTGTGTGTGTGGCCATTTTGACTAGTAAACAATTGATGCATTACACAATTTCTCACTTTCATAGACATGTTGTCCTTCATTTCCTGGTTTGTGCCTAGTGTTCCTACGTGGCTAACACCAAGTGCTATTCCTTTACACAGTGTGTTACAAGGTAACTGATGAAATCATCAAATTTCAAATAATGTATTATTTGATCAAATAATGTAGTAAAAAGAAAATGATCTGTTTGTATGATCTTGCTCTGTCTACATTGTATCTAACCTTTCATTGATTTGATAGTGGGGGGAAAATCACATTATGAAATAAATGTTTTTCTCCAAAACACATTAGGTACAACCTCCTTTTTCCAAGATAACAGCTCTGAGTCTATTCCTAATGCCGGATGAGTTTCAAAACAAGAGATCAGAGACTTTCAGATTCACAGATCCATGTTAGTGCTTCTTCTCTTCAGTTCAGCCCACTCATTTTCTATAGGGTTCAGGTCAGGGACTAGGATGGCCATTGCAGATGCAGGTTTTGTGCTCAGTGGCCCATTTTAATTTTTAATTTGATGTTTGTTTTTGGATCACTGTCTTGTTGCAGTTCTAACCATGGCCCATTATAAGATTATCAGAGGTTGGTTTTGATTTTTTATCTGTTGGTATTTGATCAAATCCATGATGCCTTCTGAACAAGAAGTCCAGGACCTTAAAGATTCAGCAGTATTTCAAGCCACACATGCGGGGTACTTTTTATCCCTGTGTGCACCAAAGCCATCTTAAGTGTTTGCTGGCAAAAAAGCTTTTTTGTTTGTTTCATCTGCACTTCTGCTAGAAATCTTAAAACGGGCCATGTTTGGATCTTCCAACAGGACAGTGATCCAAAAACAAACATCAAGACAAAAATGGGCCACTGAGCACAAAACCAAGCATCTGCATGGATGGATGGCCATCCCAGTCCCTTAACTGAACCCTATTGAAAATGAGTGGGCTGAACTGAAGAGAAGAAGCGCCAACATGGATCTGTGAATCTGGAGAGATTCTGTGTGGAGGACTAGTCTCTGATCTCTTGTCAGGTGTTCTCCAAACTCATCAGGCATTATAGGAGAAGACTCAGAGCTGTTCTCTTTGCAAAAGGAGCTTGCAAAAAGTATTTAATAAAAGGGGGCAAATAATTGTTCCCAATGTGTTTTGGAGAAAAACATTTATTTCATAATGTGATTTTCCCCCCACTTTCAATTATTTTACTTCAATAAGATAGATTTTCGCTAATGTCTTTAATCATAAAAAGGATTGACAATGCAGATATATATTTTTTACAGCCATGTTTGATCATATTTACAAAGGGGGAAAATAATTCTGATCAGGAGTGTATACACATTTATTTAATCAACAATACAGTAAAAACAGTAATATTGTAGGTATTATAATATGTCAATGGCTTTGACACATTATAATATTCACAATATTACTGTTTTTACTGTATTGCAATGTGAATATTATCAGTGTTATATTGTCAATGTTAAAAGCAGTTTTTGCTGTTTAACATTTTTGTATGATACTATTCAAACATTTGTGATAAGATTAAAATCTACATTCTTATCAGTTCTTATCAGTCATCAGAATGATTTCGGAAAGATCATGTGACACTGGAAATTCAGCCATCACAGGAATACATAAAAAAAAAATAAAAAAAAAAATATATATATATATATATATATATATATTCAAATAGAAAACATTTATTTTAATTTTTAATAGCCTAAACATTTCACAATGTTAGGCAACAGTTTTTACTGTATTTTTGACCAAATAAATGCAGCCTTGGTGAGCATAAGAGACTTCTTTCAAAAACATTAAACAATGTTTCTAAATTTTGTTGTGTTTTATGTAAATCACAGGGCTTGTGGGAGCTTGTGCGATCTGGGTCCTTCGTAACCTTTTAAAAACGTACTTGTTTGTTGAGGCACAAAGGTAAGTAGCCTTTACGCCCATTAGTTAAGCTATTTAGCCCATGCTGTGGGGTTGAAGATATCTCCCTTTGGATGGAGAAGTTTTTTGTGTTGATGTTTTTTTTTTTGTGTGCAAATTTCACTTGTCTGTCCTTTTAAGTATTGCAGATCCTGAAACAGATCTTAGACAAAAGAACAGACTTAATGGTGGACTAAAAGAGAGAATCCACTTCTGGATCCTTACAGTGGTTCTTTCGGTTGTGGGGTCCCGTGTTGCATCACTGGTAGTTTTAGAGTTCTCCCTTAGAGCCATTTCAGCACGGATCACAGGAGGATCAGTACGAACAAAATTCATTGTGACATTTCATACATTTGTGACAACTCGTTATCATTCTAGATAAATCACCCCAGTTCTTTTTGTTTAGGACTCAATCATTGACCCATTATTACTGCAGCTTGTCCTGTGCCAGTTCTCTTTGGGCTGCGCACTAACCTGCACCCTAAATTTCCTCCATGAGGGGGCACCGCAAGGCTGGCTAAGCCTTCTCCTTGCAGTTGGACTGAGCTGGTTCTTGGCTAGCCGATGCAGCAAAGCATGGCAACATGTAAAGACAATGTATCCAGTACATAGCGCACAGCGTTATTGTGGACTTTGCATTGGACTCTTAACCACTGGCACTTCTATATTAACCTGGCTCTGCAGTGCCCTAATTATAACTTTTAGTGTATCCGGAATTGCTGCCATATCAAACATAAACACACACTTTCTGTCAACCACTGAGGCTCTACGATTTTGGACCCCACTCACAATCTGCTACACTCTACTGGTTGTGTATATGAATGGTAAGACAAACAAAAAGACTGTGGTTTAATCACTGAAATTCCCTTATTGACAAAGAATAGAAACATTCATGAATTCAGAAAATCATATTAGGCCATGCATTATATAGCATACAAAAGTTTGGGGTTGGTAAAGAGGTTTTAAAGAAATCTCTTGCTCACCAAGGCTGCATTTATTTGATCAATAAAAACAATAATAATGTAAAATGTTATTACAATTTAAAAATGTTTTCTATTTTTTTTATATAGAATATAGAATATATATATTAATGGCAAACCTGAATATTCAGGATGAATTATTTCTGTTTTCAATGTGACATGATCCTTTAGAAATCAATATGCTAATTTGGTGCTCAAGACCGATTTCTTCTTCTTATTGATGCAAAAATAATTTGCTGCATGCTTAATATTTTGGTGGAAAAATGTGAATGATTCTTTTCTGGATTATTTGATGAATAGAAAGTTGAAAAGAACAGCATTTATTTTAAATAGAAGTCTTTTGTAACATTATAAATGTATTTACTGTGACTTTTAATCAATGTAATGTATCCTTGCTTAAATAAAGTAGGCCAATTAATTTCTTTCAAAAAAACAAAACAAAAAAACACTAATCCCAAACATTTGAACAGAACATAAGGACATTTCATGCCAACATTGTCTAATCCTGAATACTTATTCTTTCAGAGGATCGGCATCAGCCTGGCCAGCAGATTCTCAATACAGTTGTTGTGCGACTGGGTGGGCTTTTTGTGTTATTGATTACAGTGGGCAGTTGGTCAGATGTACTTCATGTTCTAATCTGTTTCATTGGTGAAGCTACATGCCTGCTACCATCTCAAGACCTTTTGGAAGCCATATATCAGGTTAGCACTTATAATAGGCTGTATTTGGCATCTTTGTCTGATCCCCACAGTATCCATAGATATGATTTTGTGGGGAAATATTAAGAGCATTATATGTATTAACACACTGTATTTTTACAGCATGCCACCTATATGCAGCCCGTTAAAAAGACCTGGAAACCGGGGAGAATAAAAGAAACTGGAAAACTCTGATCTGATCTTGAGTGAAAACTGAACACTTAACCTCAATTATTAATTGGAATATATATTTTCTAGAAAAAAAAAATACAAACATTGCTGCTTCAGAATATACCATCTGTAAACACAACCCAGTGAGGGTCTCTGGTTTATTTGAAAGATATAAATGTAAGTATTTTTTAAGAGATATGCTGTTATGTCCTTAAATATGCATTCCTCATTATTTTAGTTGGCCTACTGCATGAAAATGAAGGCCTTCTTATGAATGCCTTCCATCATAATAAATATAGCCATTCAATATTTATGGTGAATTCAATTCCCTCTACACCGTAAGAAATAGCCTATACATTATTATGTTTAATCCAAGTAACTAAAATTAGAGAGTGATTTTTCATTTTTTTTTCTCACAAATGTCTAAATGTCATGGAATTTCAGTTCTTGCCACAGTATTTTTGTTTTTACTACAGGCTTATCTAGGAAAACTTGATTTGGTCAAATAGTTGTAGCTTATTCACAAGTCATCTCATTGTCTATAATAGACAGGCTAACTAATACAAGAAAATAGTTGTTGCAATTACACTTACAAAATAATTACGCATGGCTTTTAACATATTTTAAGCCCTATATTACAATTTAGTTCCGCCAATTCATTGGAAACAGCCCCCACGAGCTAAAGAAGTCAAACTGAACTTGAACCCAAAATAGCTCAACTGGAAACAAAATGGCCGCGGAGCTGTCATTTCTTTTGTTATGCTGTTTTTTTTGTTTGCTGTTTGTTATGCTCAAAATGGCGCCATATATTTCAAATAACATTCTATTGATAACTGGCGCCAAAAATAACATCTGAACAATTAAGAACATCGAGTGTGATCTGTGTGTGGCGCATAAATCGCTCTGGTAGCATATTTAATCTGTGAGTGTTTAATTCTGCACGTTGAGGCTGTGCAGGATGTTTTCATGCGCTCAGACTTACATGGACAAAACATTTCTCTCAAACGCATTCCACATTTTGTCCCCTTTTGTTTACAAACCCGTCGTTTCCTCTGTCGAATTAATAAATTACTTAAAAAACAAAACAGTAAGTATCGTCGAGATATGTCCTTAGAAGTTGCCAAACCGTCTTGAGTTGTTTAGGAGCGGAGAAACAAAGTAACATTTGGTGTCCAAGTATCCAGGGGATTCATTTATTGTATAACATGCAACCATACTGTATAGGCCTAAAGTGCGAATTTGTATTTCCAATGTGCAATAATCCCAAATCCAATCCCAAAAGCACTGTCAACGAATTACATTTTATTAGTTCAATTCCATAAATAATAAGAATTTAGGCATATCCAGAAAGTCCATGCAATTCCTGGGAAGACTCAAGACTGAATCTGAAGATTGTGTGGCTTGCTCAAGATCCAGTTTGAGAACCAGCTCCACCTCAGTACAAGTTCCAGAATTTTCTGCCAGTTGAAGGGGTTGTAATTGCTCTTTGTCAAAACTCTATGTGGGTGTATAAAGCGCACGCGCGATTCATCCATTGCAGTCCCTGTTTTGCCGCATTCTGGCGCATGCGTGAATTAAACCCTAGCCTACTCCTCGTGCATAGATGGAAAGCAGTCAAATGCTTATATTAATAAGGAAATGTTATTTGATTGGGCATTATCTAGGCTGTTTCTTCAAGGAAGCATTGATTTCTTCAAGCTGGGTACTAATCATCATTCTCATTGGACAGTGTTGATCCTTGTTGTAACTAGGCTGCACTATTCATTAATTATTAAGCTTACATTCGACGCGATGCTTGTCTTTTCAATAACTAATCATGTAAAAAGACTTCTCTCTAGTCTTTATAGTTAGGGCAGGAAGTCTGCCCATAATCCACCACAAATACATAAGGTTTCTGGAGAGAATCATGGAGTTGTCTAAATTGTTTATGTAATAGGCACTCGTGATGTCTTTTTGTTTTGACTTGTGAGTCGTATATCAAACAGACGGTTCCCACCTGGATGTTGGGAAAACAAATGGATGTGCAAACGTATACAAAGCAGCAATACTGAAGCTAGTAGGCTACTGTCAACACCGTCCTGCCACTGAGTCATGAATAGTTTGTGGTAAACCACAAGTTACAAACATTGTACACCCCAAGATTATGATTAACTCGCAAAGCCTATTTAAAGTCCTCTTCTACAAATAGGCTGTCAAATGTCAAACTAAAGCAAAGGAAACCAAATCTGACTTTTACCTTGCAACCTTAACCAGGGCATAAATCCAACGTATACACATTTTAGCATTTAAAAGTGCTATTCAATGAACTATCTCTTATCCGATTTGATCCATATGGTATTCCGAGTGCTCATTGCATATGCGCGGTCTCGTCAAGAACCGGAGCGCGCTCCTCGACAGCAAGGTTCAGGCTCTCGCAGTCAACACAGCTTTCAAGAGCAAGCGGGTCCAATCATAGTGTCGAGTCAGAGGAACTACTCGCCCCACCGTAACACACATTCAGTCGGATTTAACTCAGTAAAATCTTCTGTATGATCGGGGGACACCAAAACGCAGTATGGTCCGGGAAACCAGACATTTATGGGTGGGGAATTTACCAGAAAATGTACGAGAAGAAAAAATTATCGAGCACTTCAAACGGTGAGTGACTATTTGTGTGCGCGAGACAACATCCAGCAATGTGCTTCCTTCAAGTGATTGGGGGAAAACAATAGCAGCACACCGGTGCAGAGTTTAACACATTAAATGTGTGCCACAACTTTCGCGGCAACGCTGCTATTGAGTTGGTTTGTTTTGGCTCACTTAACGTACGCTTGCTAGTGAGTTAGCTTTCCAGAGTCGCAGTCGTCGCTAGGTTGCTAATTAGCACGGAGGGTCGCATTCAAACGCATTACTTGTAGCTGCGTATATATTTGCGTCAGCTTGCTTTATTTTGCAACCCAGACGTCAGTAGCGCAACTTAAAGGTTGTAGCGTTTGTTGTTGGACAGTTGAAAAAAATACTGCGAGTGAGTTGAATGGGCTTAATAGTGTCTACTACTAAAGGCATTACAGTGGGTGTTGTTTTGAGCCTCCTCGGCTCAGATGTCATGAATGGCAGGCAAGCGGTGACCGTGGCTGCATGCGTCTATAAGAAGTCAAACAATATCAGCCAGGGGATACTTTTAACACGAGTTCATGTATGAAAATGTTCATGATCAACCTGCAAATTATCATTATGCTAGTCTGTGATCATGTGGCGACAGTTCCTACTACTGCACCAATCGGACGTTTTAAGTTGTCAGTCAGAAGTTTGTGTATGGTTGTGATGTGAATTCACATACGTTGGCTATTTTGTCTTTTATGGCAACATTAAACTATTTTAATGGATCTCAGTGTTTAAAAATAATAATTTCAAAACCACAAATGACTGCACGTTGCACCCACAAAACGTTACCTGATATGCCAATGTCTGACCTGTTTGGATTCAGGTATTGCGAGATGTCGTTTTTCATTGATTTCACGGGTTGCTAAATCAGAATAACACGGTTTGTTAAGACTAAATGGTGTGAATCTGTCTTGATCTGTCGTCTTATAGAGCGGAGAGATGTCTTGGGTGACATCGCAATATTGTACTTTACACGTTGAACACACCTGACGTTATTGTTTATAAAACTTATCGCCTAGGTCTATATATAAAGTTCTATATAGACATCAAACTTGATCATACATACTGTATTCTCACATAAAGCCATACTGTATAGTACATGTCAACTGCTTGATTGTTTTTATCGTTTTAAAATGTAAATATTATTCCTCAGACTCCGCTGTCATCTTGAATGCGACTATAAAGCATTAAGATATTATAAACAGCAACTTTATGATCTTTTTGTAAAGCTGCCTTGAAACAATGTGTATTCTAAGCGCTATGCCTTGCCTTGACCAAAGATTGTCTTGACCACATTCAGTACATTCACGTAACTTACGCACAGTTACGTATTTGGACAAAATACAATCAAAACACAATAGTGTAGTCTTTCAAAAATGCAGATGTGATCGAACTCATTATTATAATGCTGTTTCTGTAGGGTTGTATTGCTGTTCAGGCTAGAGTTTACGAGCATAACACTAGACCTCACTATCGTAACAAATTACTTTGCGAGTCGAGGGAGGCAGGCACTAGTATGAGAGAACCTACATATAAGATTTGAGTAAATAATTTATTCATCTTGGAACAAGCGCTTTGTTGTCTCTACGGCAGCCTTTTGTTCAAATGACTGTTCACATTTGCTTTGAATTGTGGTAATAACGGTCGCCCTTTAAACGGGAACTTAATTAAAACACGGTCATGTTCATTTATTGTGAGCAATATTAAGGGAGGCATTGTTTTCTGATACAGGAGAGAAATACAGTTATATACATTTATTTAAAAAAAAGGTACGTCCCCCGATGTGATTTGTGTACGGTGACTCTCAAAGCTCAGGTCAGTGCGGCAGAGGTACTTATTGAAGATGGGGGACGGTAGAATGAATAAGCAGTGTGAATAGGTTTGTAAAATGGCGACGGAGATTGTGTGAGAACTGGTGTGTCAGACAGCTGCTCACCTAGAGCACCCATTTGAATGCCTATTGTTGTTCTTACTTTGCTTACCAAGTGTTGTTTTAACCCTTATGTACACCTGCCATCTATTTTTGTTTTGTTTAGTTGTTTAATGTTTGACAGGAAATTTATGTGTAGTATATTTACATAAGTACTATTTATCAAGGTTTTAAAGGGACGCAAGTTCATCAAACATGTCCAGAAGAGGTATAGAGCAGATTCAAGCCTGAATGATTTGACAGAATTATGACATTTGACTGATTTCTGCCATTCATATCTTAATGGTGCAAAAGGAAAATAAGAGACTATGTTGGTTATTTTTGCAATGATGTGGTGCGCCAGAAACAGACAATCAAAATATGATAATTGGATGTATTCAAATGAAGGGAAATATTACTAGTCTGGCATATGGTTAATGCTTCTCATACAGTGGTACATCTTTGTGTGTTGATGAAGGCAGGCTGTTTTGAGTTGAGTTTTACATATTGCACAAATGTCTGGCTCACAGGTTTGTTTTCACTCATTGTTTTGCACAATCAAATCTCCCCTTTGCGGATTAGCTGTATGCAAAATGGTTGTTCATATCAGCATAATTGACTGCATGTGTCATTCAATTTCTTTGTGTTGGCTATTAGTAAATATCTTTTTTCACCTTTTTTTAAAGGTATGGACGTGTGGAGAGTGTCAAGGTCCTCCCAAAACGTGGATCGGAGGGTGGAGTGGCAGCTTTTGTGGATTTTGTGGACATTAAGAGTGCTCAGAAAGCTCATAATTCTGTCAACAAGATGGGGGACAGGGACCTACGCACCGATTACAATGAGCCAGGAACTATTCCCAGTGCAGCTCGAGGCCTGGATGATAGCCTGTCCATAGCCACTCGTGGGCGGGATGTTTCAGGGTTCACAAGGGGGGCGGGGGGCCCTGTGTATGTGCCCCCTGTGTCACTCCACAGCAGAGAGGGACGCTTTGAACGCAGACTAGACGGGTAAGTGGACATAGTTTTTCTGAAGGCAGGGGGACCATTCGTTTCTTGTAACTCATCTCTCCCTCCCAATTATTTCCGTCATTAATTGGGCTAATTTATTGTTTTGGGGGCGGGGGACATGTGGGAAATTAAGTGAACACACTGGAGGGTAGTGATTTGGGCATCACGCTTTGATGGTTGAGGTCTGTCATCGCTCACCGTGTAAAGATGAGGCAATTTTGAAGTTTGTCAAAGCATGGTGAACATGCATCGAAATTCATAATCATTATGTAGAGCTTAGCGTGCCTCTGCATGGGGATTCTCTCAGAGTTGGATATCGCTGCGAAGAGAATCCAGGGCATGTTTCGGATATCAAAATATTTCCGGATTTCTGGAAGCGAGAGTGCATCCGTGACCGCAGCCTTACCTGGAATTTGCCCTATTCTGGAGTACTGTGCCGCCCAAGGTGGATTAATGTCTTACCTCATGTTTTTTACTCTGTTATTGTAACACGATTACAGTGTTGATCAATTAAGACCCATTGATTGGTAATTGGATTAATGAAATGGGTGGTTTAGGATCAGTTCTTTCCCTTCGATGATCTGGAACGCTCTGGATGATGTTCTGTGGATTCTTAATCACACTGGATTAATATTACCCAATGACAAGGATATTTTATCACTACAAATTCTTTTCTCTCTTTTTTTCGGGATTATTTGTGGTGTTAGGGTTTTGCTGTTAATTACATGGGAGACTTCTGCCATTGATCAACATGGTAGAATGTGACAGAAACACAGTGAGCAAATCTGTTTATTTATTCATCACTTATTTATAGACCATTTAAGTTCATTTTTGCTTTTTTTCCCCTAAATGTTGAAGAAAAAAAGAATGGATTTAAAGTAGTTAATATTTCTCCTGAAGAATTAACTGATTTTTGGATCCATAAAGTGGATGGAGGGATTGCTGTTGTGGGGTTGAAGACATCTCGCTTTGGATGTGAAATATCCCAGTGGATTACAAATCCCCATGCAGGATCTGGAAATACAGCAGACTGTGGATACATTATAGCTAAGATGAAAGTCATTTTTTTCCTAATGGACTATTCCAATGCCAATGGATTATTGATCTTTTTTTCCAAACATCAATGAAGATTCCACTGGGATATGTAAAACATTGATCGAACACCCATGTTTTCTGAGTTGACTTGGATTATTAACATCACAGCGGTTAGAACACTGGTACCTTGTTCTGATGGGATATCTGGAAAGTGAACAGTTTTCAGTCGTAAGGAGTTGGCGGGATAAGATTAAAATGTATTTTTTAACTGCACTGAAGATGGATTTAAAGTCTCAGAGGCATCATGTAGAACAATTTTACATTTCATATTTTTAAAAATCCACAGATACATTGAAACAGATTCAAAGGACTAATGAAAATGAAGAACAGAAGTGATGCTGTTTGAAGAACCAAATGATGGATTTATTATGTTTTTGGACTTCTTTCTCCAGCCTGTTTTTGATCTGATGGGGATCTTTGCACTGAATCTGAGTTGGACATTCTACCTCCTGACTTTTACCTCCAAATGCTTTTCACATATCGATATTTTTTTTTTTTAAATGCATGGAATTTTTTTTGGCCGAACTATTCTGTTGGATCCTCAAAGATAAGGATTACTTCGTTGGTTTTTTTTGTCTTACCATTTTTTCATTCTACATTTTTAACCCCTTTTTTTGCTCACAAAGTTCTGTCTCCCTAAATTGTATTTGGAATTGTAGGTCGGGTTACCGCTGTCTGAAAAGGTTGGTATGTTCTGCCCTGTGTATATTAGCTGTTCTCTAACCCCTAGTTTGATCCCCTGTCTTTTTTCCATCTCCCACTAACAGATGTAGCTGTTAAACAGGCTGTTTTTAGTAGCTTGTTGGCATTTTGCAGATTTTTACCTCACTTTGCTGTCCCTTTCCTGATTCTCACTCTCTTTCACACTCCCTGGCTTTTTGCCTCTCTGCTTTACCTACGTGAATAATTTGAATAGTGTTTGAGGCATGTTACGAAAAATAAAAGGTTCAAATGATTTTAAAGATACAGCAAAGCTGACCAAACACATTACAGCTCTATGGAAGTGGAGGAGATGGCAAATGAGCTGTGGAGTGTTGTGATGCAATGTTTCACCACTGTTTGTCAGTTCTTGTGGAAATTACAGGAGTGGACTATATTGTAAAGGTTGATCACAGTCAAGTTACACAGCTGGCTTTCACTTAACAAAAGCATCTTTTTCTAATAGAAACCAAACAAATTAACTAGGTCAGATTTGTTGCTACATGCTCACTATCACTCACTGTCAATGACTAACAAATACTTATTCTGGAGACGCTTTATCTCAAGCTTTAAATTTAACTTATAATTTATTATCTTTTAGTGCTTGTAAATGAGAGAATTCACTTGCATTATAAATAGCTAACATATTAATTCATACATTTGCTATGTTGCTTGGCAACCATGCAGTTATTAATTGGTTTTCTGAAGAACAAACGTAATGCTGTTACTGTATGAAGAACCACATCATTATTATTAATAAATGTAGCTATTGGTGGCTCTGTTGTGAGGTTAAGGGGACTTTAGGCAAAATGCTTCTTGTGCCTAAGAAAACTACACTTGTAATAGACTAGTCTCATTATTGCACATTAAAATTTTCCTTTCACACACTGAAGACTTTTGAAGTTCGAAAATGTAAATTAGATAATCACCTTTATTTGTAATCTAATAACTGTAAATACCTAATGGTTTATCAATATAAGGTATTGAAAAAACTACAGTAGTCGGATGTGTTTTATTAAATTAACAGAATTCACCAGTCTAAAAATGTAATTATGTTACTGCTTATTTCCCAGCAATTTGAAAATATCTCTAGCTATTTGACTGGAGAAAGGTTGCAGAATGGTTGCAGTTATGTTTTAATAGTTTGAATAGGGCTATAAGTATAAAAATGCAATCTTCATTCTTCAGGCATTAGTGTATCATAGCATCCCCTTCACTCATTTCCCTTTCTTTAGGGTTTATATTGTTCCTCTTTAAAAAAAAAACAAAAACATGGTTTAGATTCACTCTCCACACGAATCATTATTCTACAGCATGACCAGAACAAATGATGTTGGACCGTATTATTGCAAAAGACCTTTATTCCAAAATAATGAGTTTTTATAACCCGTGACTAAATAAAACCCTTTGATTTTATTCTTTGAGAATGATTTCATTTTATTCATTAAACTTCATTCTTGTTACTTAATTAAAAAAACACAAACTGAAGCAGTAATATGCAGTCAAGCTATCATGAGGGAAGTAGGAGGTATAGAATTTGTAATCAAAATGCATATTTGATTTATTTCATGGTCATATAGGATAAAATAATGGCATCTAATTGGTCAAAAAAATCAAACTTATTTTTTAGCTAGGGTATAATGAAAATTACAAAACCAGTAGTTTTATGCATGAAAAAGAAATCAAGTTCACTTCTAAGAAATTGTAAACTGCCATTGTAAAATAAACGATTCTCTGGCTTTTTTCCACCTCTACCCTGTGTAACTTGGAATGTGACTGACCATGGCATGCATGACTTTTGTCATGCATATTTTTCTTCCCCTTTGTTTTCATTATAGATTCAGTATGATTTCAGAAAATGCAAAAAGAGTACATTTTTAGAGTATAAAAAGAGACAGTAACCCCCCCCCCCCACCCCCAAGTTGTCCTGACCTGGTATCAATGTGTGGATTGAATGCTACATTATAAGGAAAAATCTAAGACAGCATCTTTCCAAAATGCACTTGCAGTCTATGTTTTGATTAAATCACTTCTTCAACGCATGTCACTTGATTTGTATACCTGTCAGGGATGATAATAACATTCATATCATTCTTTCCATTTTTCTTTGCCATCCTCCATCCCTTTCCTTGTCATGTAGGGCTGCGGACAGTCGGGAGCGATCTTATGATCACAGTTCCTATGGACACCATGAGCGTAGCAGCAGCAGCAACAGCAGTAGTTTTGATCGCCAGCGTCACTATGAGACTGATTATTACAGAGACTCTAGGGACCGGGCCCTCAGTGGAGCCAGCGGGAGTGCCAGTTCTGCCAGTGGCAGCATTGGAGGTGGCTCATCAGCAGCCAGTGTAGGTGTCGCAGGGAGCGTTGCAGGGAGCAGCAGTGCTGCTGGAAGCAGTAGCAGCACTGTCGGAGTGGGAAGTGGCGGCTCGACGCCGGGAGGCATTGTCTACTATGGTTCACGAAGCCGGAGCCCTAGTCGTTTTGAGACCACAGAGACTCGCTATGAGCCCCGTGCCCGTGAAGCTTTCACACTCGCCAGTGTGGTCCATCGGGATTTATACAGAGAAGAAAGAGGTAGGCGAGGAGATAGGACATACCACCACAGTCGCAGTCGATCGCCACACTCCTCACACAATCCATCACCACAGAGGCTGGCGAGTCAGGCAGCGCGGCCGGCACGCTCCCGCAGTGGCTCAGGGTCCCGCAGTCGTTCCTCCAGCTCTGACTCCGTCAGCAGCACCAGCAGTAGTGGCAGTGGCAGGTAAGTGCTGTGATGCATCTTGTCGCATCCCATTAGTAAATTTGCATGTTGTGAAATATTTGTCAGAGCTCAACAGCAATTGTTTTTTTTTTTTTTTTTTTTTTTTTTTTTTTGCTTGCCAATGTTTTCAAAGGCAAAGGAATCATATATTTTTATTTTTTAGCAATCTATTTTTTCGCACAGATGGTGCGAGGTCCCTCTTGGAGTTGCTCTGTTTATTTTTTATATACATTTTATAATACTACTATTATATAATTATAATACTAAGTTATTTTTCTTAAATGCAAACTTTAATGGACAAACTGAAGCTTGAGTTGCCATTGACTAGTGGTAGGGGTGTTGAGATTAAGGAAGTGTACTTTCTTGGAGCAAATAAAATTAAAGAAAAGTAAACAGTCTGTAATAAAATAAGAACAAATGATCAAACTACAAGCAATAGCACAAGCAAACAATAGAACAAAGATACACATTAAATAAACAGGTTTTTCCGGTAAATCTAACACTACTTGGACACAGATTAGGCAGATTAGGTACAGAAATTGAATAATCAAATTCTGGATAGTCTTCAGTGCATAAGTTAAATAGTCAAGGTTGACTTTGAATAGTCAAGTCAACACAAGTTTTTTGTGTTGTTGCTGTTTGGTTAACATTTAAAGTGTTGGTTTACCCAAAAATGAAATCTGTCAATATTTAGGCTACTCATGGTGTTTTAAACCCATAAGACCTTCATTCATCTTTGCAACATTAACATAACGTTAAGTTTGAACCACTGTAGTCCCATGGACTATTTTAACAATGTCCTTTTGCTTCCTTTCTGGCCCTTGAAAATTGCAATGATGTTGCTGCCTAAAGGATTCAATCGAAAATACCTCTCAGATTCAATCAAAAATACCTTAATTTGTGTTCTGAAGATGAACGAAGTGCTTATTTGGTTTGGTGACACAAGGGTGATTGATTAATGACAGAAATTATTTTTTGTGTGAACTAACCCTTTAAAAACAGCTGCTGTCACTTTAAGACGTAATGCACGGATCCAATATACTGATATACAGATCTTTCTCGACTGTTTACGTTCATTTAAGACATAATCAACTTTGTTCATTGGATGTTTGCCAAGACACGCATTTTGACATATATTTGTTTGAATGAAATTAATTATCCGTTCAAGCACAAGAAGTGAAATTGTGCTCATTTCATTGATTGTGTGCTGTCAGATGTTTGCTTCGGATGTACAAGTTATTTGATTTCGAGTCTTTGCGCGCTTGAAAGTTTCAATTGGCAAGTCTTAAAAACATGGGACAGAGTCTTCACGCGGTATCGACGTATCGTATATACGGCATATATCAGGCAACAGTATTATTATCTTACTCAAGCTTATTTTTTTGTCTAGTTGCCCAGCGTGCAATTTGGTCGCATATGCGAGTGTTTAATCGCATTGTAGAGGGCAGAAATGTTACATAAATTCATGAACACATTTTAACTGGAAAACGATGGCGCATGATGCAAAACATTGGTTTGTTGTTTACAATATGAATTATGCTATCACGACTATCAAGTCATTTTTGTAATTTCCACAAAACCTGATCTGTTAGCCAGATAACATCTGTCTGACAAATCAGCAAAATTTGCAACAGCAATATATTACATAATGGAAAATCAAACATTTAAGTTTGCAAGGCATAAAAATGGATGTAAAATATCAGAGAATGTAACATTTCAGTGACGAAAGCCAAGTTCCATAAACTGGCCCAAAATTGCCTTGAGTGGGTCATCTTTATTTTTGAGCCTTGATTCTACTGAAGATTATGCACTAAATTCTTCAGTGAGTGTAGTGTGCTTTTTCAATGTTAAAATACTTTGTTCTAAATTAATATGCCTAGACAAGAAGGCAATTAATATGTTGTGGCTTCATAGCACTTTCAGTCATTGTTGAATCATCTCAACTTTGGCTCATCCAACAGCACAAGTTAGGACAATTTGCTTGGTTGATGTAGGTCTGAGAAATCTGTTTGGAAAGTGGCACAGAAATTACATTACTTAGCATACTTCAAGTCCCACAAGATCTTTCAGAACTTGTTTAGCTATATTAGTATAAATTGCATTACAAAGGAGGTTGTGGTAGGATACTTCTCAGTTGCAAATTTCTTGATCTTTAGACTCAAGCCACATGCTTGCGTAATGGCATGTCATAACCTTGTTTTCAGTGGTCTTGGTGATCACCTAGGTTTCTGAAATAGTCAGTAACCATGGATACTGATTACGAATTAAGTTGTTAGCCAGCAACAGTAAACATTCCTCTGTTGTCATTCAGCTTTCATCATTATCACCAAGTCAGGCTTTTCAGTTGTTGGTTTTTTTTTTCTTGTTGTCTAGCTTTTATATTACATTTTCACAGGATGCTTGACGCTACAGTAGGCTACTTCTAAAATGAAACCAGTGAGGTTTTTAAATAGTAATTTTTTTGTCACTTGAATTGAATAATATTGTTCTATTGATAGATCCCGGAAAGACGCATGACGTCAGGATGAGACATGTAACATATGCACTGAAAACATGGACACATAAAGCATACCGTTCTACAAAGCTGGTGAACGATCTCAGCTTCAGCGCGGATAGTGAGGACTCCTTGGTCTTTGCTTCTTTCCAGTTTGCAGACATTTGTTTGTCATTTCTTTGTTGATGACGAACACAAACTTTCTTCTAAGAATAAACAGAATAATACCTGTTGCGCAATTGTCCATGATTTCTCTAATAAAACAGCATTTTTTCGGTGTAAACTCTAAAAATAGATCAATCCAAAATTAATTTTTTAGAGCAAACATGTTGGAAAGCTGTTGATTCATTAGGCTGAATTATAAGCTATTTCCTCACAAAAGTGTTTTATTCTGCGTAGTGAAGCCTGTCCTATGTTGACATCCATTCAAAATGTTTTATTTACCTTTAACCCCTTTTGTTTAAATACATTGATTGAGTGTTGTACTTGAATCAATTGAATTTGAAACCCCTCAACCACACAGATTATATTTTCTTAACTATTTGTGTGATGTTTAAAATATTTATAACTAGTGCAGCCAATTGGATTATGGATAATTATTTTAGATTTTGTTTTTGGAGGGTTTTATGTTTATCTGAGCCATTTCTGCTGTAGATCCGGGCCAGCTGGTATGGTTATGGTTTAATTTTCCACTGTGGGGCTGAGAGTGGCCGCTCTTTTGAATGTAATACAAACGCGTCAGTAGTTGCCTTGGTAAAGGTTTACTGATGATATGAGATGTAAATAGTGACCGATTTATGGGGAATGATCAGCTATTGCCTTGTAATTTTATTATTGCTCTGTTTACTTCACTCAAATTGCGTGCTTAACCAGCAACAGAAAAACTGGTTGCCAGGCAAGTGACAAATCCTGAGTGGCGACGTCACTTCACGGGTTCTAACAGCCTAGCTAACGGTGCTGAGAATTCCGGCCCGAGAATGGTTTGTAATCATGTGCCGTGCCATACCAGGCTCAAGTGGAAGCAACTGGAACCGCCCCTAACCATTCTAAGAACTGTTCAGGCCGACGGTGGAAAAGCGGCTAAGCTTTGCCCCCAGCAGGCTTTTGTTAATAACTTTATCTTTGTGGGAATCTCTTTTTATCCTTGAATTTTAAAGGGGACCTATTATGCAAAAATTTAAAAGTGTTTGAACACTGATGTGTGTCCACTGTGTAAACAACCTGCCTATTATGGTAAAATACACCCACTCCTTTTATTTTTATACCCATAAATCGTCTCTCCAAACGAGCTGTTCCAAATTTCCACCTACTTTTAGGTGAGCCTGTGACGATCTGCCCTGTTAGCATATATGCCGCAGCAGTCCGCCATTTCTGTTTCCTGTCTGTAGCAGTGCTGCACCAAAAAAAAAAAAAAATTGCAAATATTCTTTTATTGGATGTACATGTATCAAACATAAGAGTCTCCATAGACTCCCAGCATCTTAGTTGAATTTTATTAATGTAGGAAATGTGCCAAAGGAAGTTGCTAAAGTGTTTTTTATTTGCACAAATCATTTTATGCCAGACTGCTTCACAAACAAAGGTCAGTTCAACACTGGATTTGCACAAAAGATGTTTCTGATAGATTTGTAGATTAACATGACGGTACATGCTAGTCAATGAGTTGAATCAACTTAACTCTGCAACTTCATAAATTTATCCACTTACCATTCAGAAATGGACGGTTGCATTCTAAAGTTGTAACTTGAGTCTCTCCATGAGTGTCCGACTCCTGTTTGAACATGTAAGGCTGAACATTTTGGCTACGTGACATTCTCCAGATTTGTTGTTGACAACAAAGGCCCCACCCTCTTCTGAAAGGGGGCTGGGAGCAGCAGCTCATTTGCATTTAAATGGACACACACAAAACAGGGTTTCCCTTGTTCCGTAATTACCGGACATTGGCCTGGAAAAAAAAACAAAAGTCAGACAAAATTTTCTGCCAAATTGTCCGATTAAAATTGCATAATAATCTCGCCTCCCCTAATGGTACATTCACACCGGATGCAAATAGCGCGTCAGGCGCGAGTGATTTCAATGTTAAGTCAATGCAAAGTCGTGTAACGCAATAAAAAATTCCTGTGGCGCGGTAGACGAGAATACGCCTCATTCGCGCGTCAAGTTCGCGAGAATGCCGCGAATTGAGCATCTGGCGCGTTAAGTGCGAATGATTTAGTTAGTGCTATTTGTGCATTCACCCGTTTGACGCCAATTCGGCCCGCATTAACCAATCAGGAGCCTAGCTGCTTGCTCACGTGGTGAAATATCTGGATGCTGCAATAAATGATTTCGTAATATGACTAAATGCCTGGTGTGGTTCTAATGCACAACAAAGCAAATATTTTATCACTTAAAACTTTATTTCAATATACGAGACATGTTCCTTTCTTATACATATTCATAGAAATATCTTTATTTGTGTCCCGAAGATGAACGAAAGTCTTACGGGGTTGGAACAGCATGAGGGTGAGTAATTATTGACAGAATGTTCATTTTGGGGTGAACAAACGCTTTAATTATCATATTGTATTTTCAGAAAGTTCTGGAATATTTTTCCTCTCCTTAAATTTGTCACTGCCGAAATATTGTAAAAATGTACATCATAAAAGCAGCCTTGTGAATTGTTTGCATGTTATCAAGCTAGCAGGTGGGTAAAGTTCATACATTTCTTGGCTCATACATTCCCTCTGTGTACATTCCCTCTGTGTTATAGAGTGTTATAGACATGCCAGGAAGTAGGTCTGTTTAAATAGTGACAAATAAACATGTAGATGTGGTGCAAAGTAACTTTCTCATAAATCATTTCCAGCTGTAGGAAGTAATTGGAAACCATTTTTTTAACAACAATGACATCATACTTGCATGTTCCAAATGTCAAGAAAGGTGTCCATATGATTTTCAGTATTTTTAGCTTCACTGTTTACCAATGACAAGCCCAATGTTAAAGGGTCATGAAGATCTAAAAGCCTGTTCACTCAGAAACACATTTTTAGTGTGTTTAACATTTTAATTTAGAATGATTTTAGACCAACACAAACAATTACATGTTTTCATCTCGGCAGATTTTTCGAAGCAACAGTAAATAGAAGTTGGAATCCAGAACCGGCTCTCTTACTGTTCACTATTTGGTGTTGTTTGATAAACATCATCAGGAATGCCAAAATCTAAACCACTGTTTGACTACCTTTCTTCTCCATCACAAGCAAGTGTCAGAAATGGAAAGTTGCATACCACAGACCTTGTGTATCACTGTATCTTTTATTTATTTTGCTTCGGTCTGTATAAACAAATCACATATGAGTTTTTGTGCCGAACATTTGTCTTGACTCTTGATGTCAGAAAAATGTTAAAATATTAGATGTTAAGATGTTGACCGACTTAGTTGACGTTGCACCCTTTGATGCAGACTGGGCTAGACTAGCTACAGGCATTGGGTCGGCCAGACATCAATGACTGATAATTCAGAAACCTTTGTGTTTAAGATCCATTTTGATTTCAAGTTGGCCTGTGGCTTTAGGACATCACTACAGACTTTCATTTGTAATGAGATGTGGGAAATTTAGTAGCGATTGTCACCCAGAGGCTAAACATGCTCTGCTTGTTACTGATTTTATTTTTGGTGCAGCCAAAGCGATTAGTATAAATATTCAGTTTTTAACAAGTGTTGTTTGTTAGAAAATCTAAGCATGCACCACACAACCATTTTGTATAATTTTTTTGTAAATAATACGGACGTCTATAGAAATTAAGTGTTGTCATAATTATATTTATTTATTTCTTTGTACTGGAAACTCATCTTTGTGATTTAGTTTTGACATTCATGGCATTTGTAAAACAAAACAAAAAAATTATTTGAACTTGCTTTTCCTTTTTTATTTATTTATTTGAATCCAGAGTTTGGTCTTTTCTAAGTAAGGGCCAATGTGCATAAAATCCAAATGAAGTGTATTGCTTTGCTTCCCTTTATGCTAGGGTAGGTGTATTGTATGCTTTTCGAGGAGAAAAGGCTGTAGGGGAATTTTAAGAAACAACGGCTGATGTATTTTCACACTGCCCACTTGAACTCCCCCCACCCCCGTGAGATCCAGTTGGAACTGGAAATTTCTAGCCATTGCTGGCTCCCTGCCCACTCCCACAGGCCAGCCCCTATCAGCCGCACTTCTGAGAGGAGGGAGTCAGGGAGAGTGAGAAAAGAGGGCAGTGCAAAGATGTAAACAGACAAAAGGAAAGCCATGTATATGGCTGAATCATAGTGGGGAAAGAAGTATCCACTGTGTTGTCAAAATGTCAGGTTTAGGCAGTCAAGGTAGAAAGATGATTTGCAAATACATTTATTTATTTATTATTATTATGCTAAACTAGCCTATATACTTGAGTGGTTGGTTCTTTCTGTTCAAGCACATTTTTTTATTTTTTTATTTTATTAAATTAAATTATTGTTTGTAGTTTTAGCTTTTTATGCAGTCATTGCATAATTTTTTTGACATTCTTTTTTTGTTGTTGTTGCAATAGTGCCTCTCTGAGGTGGGAAAATAAACTGCATAAAAAACTGGAATTTGTAAATTCTCTTAAAGGAGTAGTTCACTTTTGAAAAAACTTTTGCTGATAATTTACTCACCCCCATGTCATCCAAGATGTCCATGTCTTTCTTTCCTCAGTCGAAAAGAAATTTAGGTTTTTGATGAAAACATTCCAGGATTTTTCTCCATATAATGGACTTCAATGGGAACCGGATGGTTCAAGGTCCAAAAGATAGTGTTAATAACAGTTTCAGATGCAGCTTCAAATGTCTTTAAACGACACCAGACGATGAATAAGGGTCTTATCATGCGAAACGATCGGTTATTTCAAAACTTATTCCAAAAATGTAACTTTTCTAAGGACAAATGCTAGCCTTGCTATATTCTCTGAGGCGCGTTTGTAACGTCACGTAATACGTAATTACGTTCAAAAGGTCACGGGCGACGTAGCCGGAAGTACAGAATCAAAATCGTCCGACATCGTTGTTTTTCCTTTTAATTCCTTTTTTTGTAAACGGTGTTTGAGCTAGTTTGCACGTTCAACCTATGCGTTCAACTTGTAAACACTGACTCTGTACTTTCGGCTACGTCGCCCGTGACCTTTTGAACGTAATTACGTAATACGTGACGTTACAAACGCGCCTCACAGAATAGAGCAAGGCTTGCATTTGTCCTTAGAAAAGTTACATTTTTGGAATAAGTTTTGAAATAACCGATCGTTTCGCATGATAAGACCCTTATTCATCGTCTGATATCGTTTAAAGACATTTGAAGCTGCATCTGAAACCGTTATTAACTGTCTTTTGGACCTTGAACCATCCGGTTCCCATTGAAGTCCATTATATGGAGAAAAATCCTGGAATGTTTTCATCAAAAACCTAAATTTCTTTTCGACTGAGGAAAGAAAGACATGGACATCTTGGATGACACGGGGGTGAGTAAATTATCAGCAAAAGTTTTTTCAAAAGTGAACTAATCCTTTAAAGGAACCATTCTGAGCATGTTTATGTTCTCTTACAGTAGTGATTCCAGCAGTAGCTCCAGTGATCGATCTCCAGCTCGATCTGTTCAGTCAGCAGCTGTACCTGCCCCTTCTGCTCAACCCCTACCTTCACTGGACAAAGATGAACCTCGCAAAAGTTTTGGTATCAAAGTGCAGAACCTCCCTGTGCGCTCAACAGGTGAGGCTTTTATGAGTTTGTCAAATTAAGTCAAAATAAAGACATTGAAGACAAATTTAAGGATTATTTTGCAACATGTTTTAGTGAGACATCGTTACTAAGCGGTACTATAAGCATTATGCTCTTCCTACCAATTTTAGATACAAGCCTGAAGGACGGCCTTTTCCATGAATTTAAGAAACATGGCAAAGTCACATCAGTTCAGATTCATGGTGCCTCTGAGGAACGATATGGATTAGTGTTTTTTCGCCAGCAAGAAGACCAAGAAAAAGCTCTTAGCGCATCTAAAGGGAAGCTGTTTTTTGGCATGCAAATTGATGTCACTGCTTGGCATGGCCCAGGTTAGTTTCTTGCATTTAGAGCACAATTCTTTGTTGTTATTAAAAAGTTTTAATAGTAGCATTGGGCCTAACATTGTTCTCTAATCTGTCACTGAAAAGAAACCGAGAGTGAGAATGAGTTCCGGCCTTTGGATGAACGTATAGATGAGTTTCACCCCAAGGCTACAAGGACATTATTCATAGGAAATCTAGAGAAAACCACAACCTATCATGACCTGCTGAATATATTTCAGCGTTTTGGAGAAATTGTTGTAAGTAGAATTTTGTAAATGTGTTTTAAAAATTGTGCTAGGTTTTAAAACAAAAAATCTGTTTTTTTTCCTGTTTTGTCAACACTGCTTATGTATGTATTTTTTTTTTTTAAACCAGGATATCGATATAAAAAAGGTAAATGGTTCCCCACAATATGCCTTTCTCCAGTATTGTGACATAGCAAGTGTCTGCAAAGCAATTAAGAAAATGGATGGTGAATACCTTGGCAACAACAGGTTAAAGGTGAGGATGGGATCAGATTAATCAAGTGATTCAAAATGTGTTTGTCTAAATTAATTTTTTTTTTAGCTATGTACAAGTAACAGACAATCTTCATTCAGTAGAATATTTTTAGAGAAGAAACAGGAGTATACATATTGGTTGACAAAATGGGTTTTCTTTCCTGCAGCTTGGTTTTGGCAAGAGTATGCCTACTACATGTGTATGGTTGGATGGCTTGTCCTCCAGTATTACCGAACAGTATCTAACAAGGCACTTTTGTCGTTACGGACATGTTGTAAAGGTATTCATCCTGTGCATGATTTAAAGTTTATGTTGTTTTTTTTTTTTTTTTTAATAAACTCATGTTCTGTACACCATTTATCATCAATAGAATAAATGCATTCAAATTTGATGTTTACTTGATTTCTTTATATTACTCTGTTTTTAGGTTGTGTTTGACCGACTGAAAGGAATGGCTCTTATCCTATATAATAATATAGAGTATGCGCAGGCCGCTGTCAAGGAAACAAAGGGTTGGAAAATTGGAGGAAATAAAATAAAGGTCTGTAATATAATATCATTTTACCACTGCACTTCAAAGTGACTTGACAAACTCACTATTTGTTTGTCTAGCATTGATAATTAAATTTGTTTGTAGGTTGACTTTGCCAACCAGGAAAGCCAGATGGCTTTCTACCGTTCAATGCAGGCATCTGGACAAGACATAAGAGATTTCTATGAAATCATATCTGAACGAAGGTGAGATGTTGTGTGTTAACACCTCTTTCATTGTGTAGAATCATGGTGCCTTTATATCCTTTTATATTTAATCATTTATTTATTTATTTTTTTTGCAGAGATGAGCGCCGGCCGCCATATCATGAGTTCACAGCTGAGCGGGCGTACTATGAGAATGTGCGTACCCCAGGTTCCTTCACAGAGGATCCACGTCGAAAATATCCTGCCAGAAGTCGAGAGTTTTATTCAGAATGGGATCCTTACCAGGGAGATTACTATGATCCGCGATACTATGATGACCCCCGTGAATACAGGGATTATAGAGACCCATATGAGCAGGATATTCGAAAGTACAGCTACTTACAAAGAGAACGTGAGAGGGAAAGAGAGAGGTTTGAAACGGATCATGAACGTGACCATGGTCGACGGACAATTGAACACAATCAAAGCCCATCCCATCCACGTCGTCCCACTAGCCCTGCTGCCTCCCCATCCCTTTCCGAACGTCCTCCCAGTGACTCTGAACATCATGTTTACAGCCGCTCATCTGAGCGAAGTGGCAGCTGCAGCTCACTTTCTCCACCACGATTTGAAAAGCTAGATAAAATTCGTTTGGAGAGGCACAATAGGAGTGATAAATCAGAGAAAGACAAATCAGTCTTTGAGGCAGATCGTGGAAATGCAGGAGAAAAAGAAAGACGTGCTGGACGTAAGGAAAAAGGAGACAAGGACAGGACTGAGAAGCAGAAGTTGAGGAAATCAAAACTTGCATCCCCCACTGTTCCATCGTCAGAGACGGAGCTTGAACTTGACAGGGACACTAGCCCAGAAGCTAGCTTAAGTTTGCGAGGTAAAGCCAGTAAATCATTCATCAAAGACTACTCTGGAAAAGGAAAACTTGATCTGCCACCTTGTGTTGTACAGCTGACAAGAGTAAAGGAGAAGGAAGGGAAATTAATAGATGGTATCCTCAGTGAGAAACAAAAAACAAAGGTTGGGAGTGATCATGTTCGTTCTCCAACCACCCCACCCTCAGTTGATCACAAGAGTATGCCTTTCCGCATAGACGCTCAGGCTAGAGATTTTTTTAAACACGGAAAACATCTCAAGGAGAAGGGCTTGGCTAGTCAAGTTGAGGTTGTGGATAAAGAGGGCAAAGTGAAAAACAAAAAATACTTCAAAACTGATCTTCAATTTGACACCAGCTCGTCTGTGGATGCTGACCGCTTGGCTGCACGAAAGAGGCGCTTTGAAGAAACATCTGGAAAGGCTGATAATTTGAGGAGGATAAGTCAGGAGGAGGATGAAGGGAAGTTAAGGAGATTTATTGATGTACCTTTGCTAAAAGACATTGATTATGATAAAAAGTTGCTACGAAAAGAAGCACACAAGAGAGAACAGAAAATTAAGCCAGAGAGGATGGTTACTGTTAGTACTCTAAATGAAGAGCTAGACACTGTAATGTCAGTTGGCCTCAGTCTAGACCTTCAGGCCCGACTTGGGGAACCAATTGAGGAGGCAATAGATTCCTTAGATAGTCTTGATCAAAAGATGGGTTCCTTTGGAGCTAATAGTCAACCAAGTTTCAGTATTGCGGTCTCTGATGATGGAAGTGTAGACATGGAATTTTCTAGAGACCAAGAACAGCAGCACTTAACTAGCTACAACGTACTCTCCTCAAGCCTGGAAAGAGATTCTGAAAGCAAGGAAAGTTTGGTCTCGGACATTGATCATTCACAGAGTTGCAGAAAACAAATGGAGCAGAACCGTCGCCTACAGCAACAATTGCTGGAGTGTGATAAATCTGATAAAACTGAAAGCACACCCAGCACTGATGCAGAAGACTTTGAGCATCGAAGTCTTGTGCATGAGTTAGGAAAACCACCGCAAGATGTAACTGCCAATTCACCACCCACCAAGCGAAAGAAGTTAGGAACATTTGAATTTGATTTCGGCTCTAAAAGAGAGCGAGATTATCAGAGGTTTAGACGGATAAATGATGAACCTGAAAGGAGACTTGCTTCACTTCCAGGGACACCCTTTTCTGAGGAGGAGAGAAATGCATCACAATTGCTGGACAAACAGCCAGATTCACCATTGGCAATGGACAAAAATTGCTTGCATTTTGATGTATCAAAATACAATATTGGCAAAACAGAGCACCAAGGGCTTTTGCCACATGCAGAGATTTTGAAAGTGAAAGCATCAGTGACAGAAGAGGAGTTCTGTTGGGAGAGCAATATTAGGCAGACCACACTGAGAGGAGAAATGAGCTTCCCTACCAGTTTTGTTAAACGAGAAAGTATCCGGAAACGCCCTGAATGTGAATTGGAGCCTGGGGAGGTTCAGTCAGACTCTGATGAAGATAGTGAAAGTAGGCACCTTTCACTAAAGCTGAACTCTTTCAAAAGAGAGCCTGAGGAGAAGCTTTCAGATGTAAAGTCCTCTGAGTCTCTTGAAAAGAATAAGTTCTATGAATTTGCATTGGATAAGACCATAACGCCAGACACCAAAGCTCTACTCGAGCGTGCTAAGTCACTTTCTTCATCTAGGGAAGAAAACTGGTCTTTCCTTGGCCATGACTCAAAATTCAAAAGCTTTCGAAATAGCACTGACAAGGAGAAGTCTGAACCGACTCCAAGACCTATTCCTTCTTGGTACATGAAAAAAAAGAAAATTCGCTCTGATTCTGATGGAAAGTTAGATGCTAAAAAGGAAGATGCCAAGCCTGATGAACAAGAACGACAAGAGCTCTTTGCTTCACGCTTTCTTCATAGCTCTATATTTGAACAGGACTCAAGACGACTTCAACACCTTGAGCAGAAAAGTAGCGACCCTGAAGTTAGAGTTTGGAGAGAGAGTATTACAAATGATTCCAAAGGGGAGCAAGCTGGGGCAGGAGGAACGGACCTCTCTCAAGAACCAAGAGTACTTTTTCATAGCCGCTTCTTAGAACTTCAACAAAGAGATAAGAACCAACAGCTGCCCATTTCAGAAAGACTTAGTGTAAATGATCAGATGGAGGAGAAGACACTGGATGAAGAGTTTGGGCCATCCCCCAATGCATCAGAAATTTCCCAAGAGTTGTCAGTAAGTCATATCCCAGCTACAACATCACCAATGTCTCTCTCTAAAGTTTCAGAGACTTCTGTGCAGCATGATAAGCCAGTTTTGCCCTCTACATTAATAAACCTAGATGGTCAAGCAGTTGTGAATGAGCGGCCTGATGATGCTCCAAAAGATTATTCTCCATTAATTAACATAAAGGAGGAGAACACAGCTGTTGCAGTGAGTACTACACCCCCTGAGCCCATGATAAAGGAAGATGTGTCTGTCAAAGAACCTAATGAAAAGCTGGGTGAGTCCAAAAGAACTGTAAGCCCAATTGTTGAACAAGATATTGATGTCAAACCTCCTACTCCTGGTGCATCTTTAAGTAATGTTGAGCCAGAATGTGATCCTTTTCAGGCATCTTCTCCATCGTTTCCAAAGCCCAGTCAAGCTCAAGAGATTGCTGAGCTTTCAGAAATAAAAATGGAACCTGCTAATACTTATCTTCACAAGGTTGCATCCCCACTAGATGTGGAGCTGCCAGACACAAAACCTGAGATTGAACTGGTACAGACACCACGCAAACAACCTAAAAGTAAAAAGGTAAAAACTGTCTTACCAGCATCAACACTGATCTCTCAAGTTGCTAATGAGAAACCAGCTACACGAAAGAGTGAACGCATTGATAGAGAAAAGCTAAAAAGATCTTCATCCCCCAGAGGAGACTCCACAAAACTGATTGCTGACTCCAGAAACTCTACGAAATCTCCTGTTCATGCTACAGATTCAGAGCAGGGCCATGAATCAAACACAAATGCCAGAACACGACAGCGACGGAATGTACGATCTGTCTATGCAACACCCCTTGAGGATGAAGCTCCACAATCAGGAAAAGAGATTACAGAACCTCCCCGTGTCACCCGTAAGCGCTGTAGTGATAAGGAGGCTGGAACACAGCATATGGTAACCACACTTGGTAGAAGAGGTCGTCCACCCAAGACTCGTAGAAGAGGTGATGAAATGTCTCCAGTTAAGGGAGATCATACCAAAAATTCTGAGAGTGAAGACTCTGAAAATAAAGAGTCAGCATGTAGTGGAGAAATATCTAAAGCAGCAGAGGCATGGCGCTCTCCACGATCTCAAAAAGGGCAGACTTCGCCAATAAGAGCAGGACAAAACAGAAAAACATTGAAATTGGACAAAGTGCCAGGTAGCCCAGAATCCATTCAGTCAGACAAAGCAGGGGTTGATGCATCACCTGCTCTCGATCACCTAGCTGAATCCAAAGATGAAACTACAGTGCAAATTGGACAGTTGTCACAAGATACCAAACAGCATAACATATCTAAAAAAGAAAATGAATTTGCACATTCTGGTAAGGAAAAAACAACAGACGCCGACATAGAAATCACTTCTGTAGAAAAAACACAGCCATTAGAGAAGAAAATCAGGGCATCAAGACCAACAAGAAACACCAAAACAATGCCTGAAGATAAGCCTGTCAACGTTATTAATCTCACTGTGGATGCAGCTAAGAATGCCCTTCATTCAGGTGAGGACAACGCTGTAAGTTTAGAAGGGTCTTTGAAAACCAAAGTCCAACTGTTGGGGAAAGAAGAGTCAAACATCCCAGTTTACCACAAAGAGGAAGTTGTGCACAGTACTGATGAAAAGGATGAGTCTCTTTCAGAAATGGAGCCTCCTACTGATCCCGTGGCTGCCTTGCTTGCCCGTCAAATGGAACTGGAAAGAGCAGTGGAGAATATTTCAAAACTTACAGATGACCAGCTTCCAGCACCTTACAAAGAACCTTGTACTGTACCACCAACTCAAACACCGCCTGTTATAGTACAAACTGCAGATGAAACCGAGGTAGAAAAGCCTGCCAATCCAGCAAGTGAAACTGAACTGGCAGCTGCAATTGATTCCATCACTGCCGAGGATATATCTGGGGATGCAGATGGATTTTCTGCTCCAACAACATACACCGCCCTCCTTCCTACACCAGAGACACTTGCTCTGCCTGTATCAGGTGAGGTTACTGAACCTGAGACAAACTCGACTGTAAAGACCATTGTACAATCTGATCAAGATAGCGTTAAAGTTCCAGATTCAAAATCTCATCGAACTTGTAAAACAGACACTTCATTCACAGAATCTCCATTAGCCGAGGTAGCCAAAAAAGGAGGAAGAGCACGGCCAAAAACTCCAAAGAAATCCAGAGGTCGGAAGGTTTATTTGAACAGAAAATTAGACATGGCTGAGGATGCAGTGTTGGAACCTGAATCCACTACAGTCAAACTTCCAGAGTCAATCCCAGAAGAGATTAAAACTGCCAACCCTAAGGCAGCCACATCAGCAGCTGCAGCAGCTGTAGTCACTGTTGCTGCTGCATGCAAACATGAAGCTACATCTACAGTGATTTTGGACACACCAAAAGAGGCAGAACAGCCTGCTGTCGACCAGCCTGAACCTCAGGAATCTGCCTTCCACTCTGGAAATAACAGTCCTCCTTATTCAAGGACACAGCAACCGTCTCCTGAGCCAGTAGCATTTACCCTTACTTCACCTACAGCCTGCCTGAATTCACCTGCTTCCTCTAAGATTCCTCTCTCACCCCCTGAGTGGAACACAAGGACAGAGGAGAAAGGAATTATCTCTAGACCTCAAGTTAATGTGTCTTTGTCTACACCAGGAGTTGGGGTACCTCCAGCAAATCCTCCCATGCCTCCTGACACAAAGGCCTCGGATATTGACCCAAGCTCCAGCACATTGCGAAAGATTCTAATGGAACCGAAGTATGTATCTGCTTCAAATAGCAATGCAGTCCCAGGTATGAAGTTCACATCCACCCTAGCAGATACACGGATGTCTAATAATGAAAATTCAGTTGAGGCTGTGCTGCCTTTAAAGACCTCTCTACCTGAAGATAGACCTAGCCCTATAACTCAGCTTGTACCTTGTACAGCACCCCCAAAACCACCTCTTCTGCAACAATGTGGTACTCCGCAGATCTTAAAGGAGAAACTGGCTATAACTTCCACTGCTACTTCAGTCATTAGTCGGATCCCTATGCCCTTTGATTTCGAGGACACTCCTCGGATCTCTTTAAGCAACCGTAGCTCTGGAATGTCCATACCCAAGCAGAGGTATTGTACAGGTTTGAATGAAAATAGCAAGTATCATGGACTTAACCCCTCTGAGGATGGCGGAAGTGTTGGGCGCCCTGTTGTTGAAAGCACACATTGTAACACAGGGTCAAGTACTGGTTTGAGGGTCAATACGTCGGAAGGTGTGGTAGTGTTGAGTTATTCTGGACAAAAGACAGAGGGACCACAGCGGATCATTGCTAAAATAAGTCAAATCCCACCAGCCAGTGCAGTTGATATTGAGTTTCAGCAGTCTGTAACAAAATCACAGATAAAACAAGAACCACCATCTCACCCATCTACACCAAAAGGATCACAGACACCTACGGGTTATGGACATGCAGGGGTAGTATTAGCTGGCCAAACTTTTAGTGCTCAGCCTGTTATTTCCTCGGTTAATCAGGAATGTCCTAGCGCTGAAAAATCTGAACCATCCTACCACACTGGTCAACATGGAGGTTCTGTGAAAACCTTCCAACAGTCCACAAGCCATCCTCAACTTCTGAGGTATAGCCAGTCAATTGCACAGCAGCAGCATTTTAAGAAAAATGGAGTAACTGAAACCATTTCAATGAAAACTGATTTAAAACCATCACAAAACTTCACTGTTAAACCAGTTTTAAGCCCACACCATCCATCTTTAGTAGGCAATCACATTTTAAGTTCAAGTGCTCCACATGACAGAGTGGTCTCACAACCCAAGCAAGATTCACATTCTCCAAGGTCGTCAGGCCATTCCACGTCACCCTTTCCAAAAATTTGCCCTCCTAGTAGCTCAGTTGTTTTGGGTCCAGCTGGCCCTTTATCTCAGTATGTGTCAAATATACACCATGCTGAGCAATCCGTGATAATGCCCCCTCATAGCGTCACCCAGTCTATGCCCATAGGTCATTTGTCCCAAGGAGATGTCAGAGCCAGTACGGGATCGTTATCTGGAATAGGTTATGGAATCCGTTCAGAAAACCTCTTATCGCCTCGATCTGCACCTCCACAACGTTCCACTACTCCTCAACCTGCAGTGATCAGAGATGTTGTGCTGAAGTCACATGCAGGTGTATCTGGTGGTGGCCAGGTTGAGACAAGCAATGATGATATGCTGAATCTCCCTCAAGGACTTCGTAGAGCTTCTGCACCACAGTTACAATCGGAAAGCATAGTAATGCAGCCTGAATTCAAAGGTCTGCATCACAGGGCATTGCGTCTAGATCAATATGCCAGAGATGTGCGTTTACTTGTGCACCAGCATTTAACTGACCATTCAGGTGTTGTAGAAAATCGCCAAACACGAACACCAGAGGCAATGCAGTCATCTTCACACATATCATCTACTTCTAAAGCTTCTCCTGTGGTAAAGAATGCTCCACCAAAAGCAATGGAGCTGAAGATGACACCCTCCCCTCACTCAGACAGCAGGATAATAGGGCACACCCCTGGGTCTGTTATGGTATCTTCCCAAGGAGTTCAATTGATTCATACTGGAAATCCAAACTCCATGTCTGAATACTACAGAGAAATGCGTGGCTTCCATTCTCAGTATCCAAGTCATTCAGTAATTGGAATTAATTTGGCTAATCGTGGAATTGCTGCATCTCAGGTGAGAGTTTGTGTTGTGCTCTACAATTATAATTTATGCAATACAGTTATCAGTTATGTTAGCCATGATATAAGTGTTTCCGCTACATTCATTCTGCTGTGGTGGGCCGCCACACCTAAAATAATCCTGCTACTGCTGCAGCTTCTCAGTGAGGTACGAAAATGTGCATTCCATCGTGTTATTTGTTAAGCCCCACTAAAGGCATAAAAAACACAATAAAGCACAAAGTTTTCGCACTATATTCCAAGACTTCTAAAGTCATTGAATAGCATAATGTGAGGTAAAATGAATATTTAAGTTGTTAAAGTTAATGGAAACTCCTCTCTCCTCAGTCTTTTTCTATTCAGCATTCAAACGGCGCATCGCATTCGGTTACGACAGTAACGACACTCTCTTCAAGATCAATGTTCCCATTATTATACTTTATTTCTAGATAAAGGTCTATGGTTTGCATGAAATGACTTATCTTGCTGGAGTTTATTGCCCTTTCTAAATCATATTCCTTTCTCCCGGTTGTCTGTTAGATTACAGCACTTGAGTAAAGAGCACTATGAATTGTTCTTCATGCGCACTGTAACTGAAATTTACAACTGTTAAAAAAAGAGAAGGCTCAATAATACACTAAGCATAGATAGATCTGTTCTCTTCGCTTTGAACTTTTCAATGTGAAGCACTGCATGCTGTGACTTCGCATTGCTTCAAGTGCATCATTCTGCGCATTGGATGCGCATAATCACTTTTACCGCTCTTATTAGGAGCCTTTCATAGTGTTATTCTTAGGGGAGGTTTAAACGCCTGGGGCCGGGGCGTGGGCCTACCCCACCACAGCTGAAAAAAATAGAGGAAACACTGATATATATATATATATATATATATAAATATTGTCTTGATTTAAGATGTGCATTCTTCACTAGGTCTCACAAGTTGATCAATGTCAAAGGCAGAAGGTTCCCTCTGTCTCCTCCATTGAGTCTGTGGGAAGTTTTGGTGAATCAAAACTTGACGGTCCTCACATTCGACACCCAAGCTCCGTGGATTTGTCTCACATATCACGAGTTCAGAGTGAGACTGGCTCTCCCTCTTACACTTCTCCTGTGAATATAACACCCAAATTGGAGATGCCTATCACTGTGCAGAAGGGACCTCAAGGACCTATTTCTAACCAGTTGCCACGCCCATCCTCAGCCTCTTCTCAGATACGATCAGAATTTAAACTTGACCACACAGGACTTCGGTCCGTTGATATGGTGCAATTGTTAACGGTTTGTAAACTTATTTTACTATTATTTCTATTGATTTTTAATTCCTTCAGAAATACAATGGATATAATATATTTTGTTGTCATTATGGTTGTAACTCTTTTTGTCTTTGAACAGAAATACCCAATTATTTGGCAAGGTCACCTGGCACTTAAGAATGACACCGCAGCAGTGCAGCTACACTTTGTGTCTGGTAACAATGTTCTGGCTCACCGTTCACTGCCACCACCAGAAGGAGGTGCCTTTCTTCGCATTGCCCAGAGAATGCGTTTAGAGGTCTCACAACTTGAGGGAGTTGCAAGACGTATGACTGTAAGTATCCTGTCTTATTTTATACCTCTTTCTCAAACCATATTAAGGATTTGTCTTAAAGTGCCCCTATTATGCTATTTTAAGGTTTTCCAATGTTGTTTTGGAGTCTCCTGCAACAGGTTTACAGGTTTCAATCAACACATTTTCAATGATTCTCAAATGACTCGTCAGATGAATCAATCTCTCGAAATCCCTCCTTTACACGAGGTACTCTGCTCTGATTGGCCACACACCTCAGTCTGTTGTGAGTGGTCTACTGCGTACAGTGTGTCAAACAAAATCGCCCATTGCCATAACATCAGCTCTACTGACCTGAGGCTTCCTACACAGCTAAACACAGCAACGAACAATGATGTTGACTTTACCGTATCAATCCTAGAGCAAGTCCTAGTCCTAGACAGTAAGAACGTAAGTTCAAAACTTACTATTTTTGATCACCATCTTTCTAGAGCAAGCGGTTTGCAAATCCTACACTGAACTCAGAGATTTGAGAAGTCGTCGTACAGTAAGTCAAATAAAGGGAACACGGCAAAAGTTTAGGATTATACTGCTGTGGTATCATGGTAATGATGAATTTTAACCACTGATTATTCACATGCTCGTCCTTGAGCAATGGAAAAAAAAACTGGCTTTACTTTCACATTATAGAGCACAGTGTCTTCCAAACATGATGCTGTCCAGTATTCACAGGAATCAGCTGCCGGTTTGAGGGGGTTCAAGTTTTCCCTGGTGTTTTGGCGGGTAATAATAAATGCTAATGTTTCATCTTGACGTCACAACGAAAAGGCTTATGACTGGTTTGAAAAACGATTCATTTCATTGACTCAGAGTCAACTCTTACTTTGGAAAGAGACTAACTTAATATATGGTTCACTTTCAGATTTAAAACTTTGCAGGATGTTTTCATTCTTTTAGAGCTATGTTACACACTACATGAAAGATCATTTAAAAAAAAAAATCCATAATAGGGGCACTTTATATCTAATTTTAAATACATATATTACATCGAAGTGAAACAAAATCTACTGAAATGTCAGCATATTAGCAATTTAAAGGAAAACCTTTTTTTCTAGGCTGAAAATGAATACTGCCTTCTGTTGGCATTGCCTTGTGGATTGGACCAAGAGGATGTCCACAACCAGACCCATGCTCTTAAAACTGGTTTTATCACTTACCTGCAAGCAAAACAAGCTGCTGGAATTATCAATGTCCCGAACCCAGGCTCGAATCAGGTTAGTCCTCTTAAGAATAAAGATTATAACCGTGCGCAGAGTTTTTCCTGAAAGAGAATAGTTTAGCAAGATGCTCATGTATAACTACACATAAAAGATTACATGCTTTCAGATGTGAAAATAAGTAATTTAAATGGGACATTCCACTTACAAATAATTTTCTTTTGTCTTCCTTGCAGCCAGCCTATGTTGTCCAGATTTTCCCTCCTTGTGAGTTTTCTGAGAGTCACTTGTCTCATATGGCTCCAGACCTTCTCAATAGCATCTCCAGCATCTCTCCCCATCTTATGATTGTCATAGCTTCTGTATGAGAGGGAGATCCCAGCTTCCCACACCAACATGCCAACACCAGCCTTTGAGATTTGCCAGATGTCCTTTTTTTTTTTTTTTTTTTTAACTCTGGAAAGCACCTCAATGTCCTTTTTGGCCATGTACTCACTCTCTTTTTGTTTTTTCACCAGCCTTTTAATCCATTGACTCATTGCCACTTTCGTTTAACTGTGTATCACCTTAAAGTACACAGGGATAAATGGAGCTATCCACAACGATCAATTCTCTGATCATTTCCCTTTTCATTTGGATATTTGTATCTATGGTTTTTAAAACACTGAAGATATTTGGGATTATTAGGACATGGGAGTTAAGAATTTTTTTATTGATTTTTTTTTTTTTTTTTTCCTAAGGAATAATCAGACCAATCATTGCACTATGTTAAGAAAATCAAAAAAAAAGAAAAAAAAAAAGAAAAACAAGTTTGTACAAATTTGGTTATTGAAATTGTAATTTTACTTTATTACTTGGACATGCTTCATTCACCAGCCATTTGTGGTAGAGAAAAAAAATGTTATCAAGTCAAAGTAGTTCAATCGAATTGCTTTGACACATTTTATAAAAAAATAAAAAATAAAATAAAAAATGATAATGTAATATAAAGCAGTTACTGTTCAATCACAAGTAAAAAGGTTACTTCCATGTTATTTGTAGAAATTGCTCTCAATATAGCCCTTGTTCTTTCCCAAAGGGAAAATGTTGGAGCATTGTAAGTTGTACAGTTTACACTTGATGCCTCAATTGGGGATTGTATGTATACTTTTTTCGCTTTCCTAATACTTGCAAAGTGAATCAGGTGAAGGCCTGGTTGTAAATATGATGTATATTTAAAGACTTTCAAAGCAGTCATTAGACACTGCATATGACAAGCATAACCAGATTGACAACCTATTGCCATCAACCGTGAAAGTGAACTGTCAGTTACCACTTGAGTATCATTTCATATTTTTGTTTTGTTGATGTTTTTGAAATCAATCCTGTGCCATAATTTTTAATGGAGAAAGCTAAATGAATTGAGATTTATCTAGTTTTATTTTGATACTTGACTTTGTATTTGTCGCTTGATCTTTAAGGCCTGCTTTTACATTGCCTTGTTTTATGCTTTTTGTCCCCTACCTCTATTTCTGTCTTTTTTTATTGTCATGTTGGTAACTATTGGGGGATCCTAAATGATGATATTGTCCGTAGGACCTCTAAAGTGTTAAATTCTGTTTTCCACTGTTTCTTTCTTTCTTTTTTTTTTTTTTTACATACCTCTGAATGTCCAATAAGAACAGTGCAATGCAAGTGGTAAATATACTTTGTAAAGAGAGAGAGAGAGAGGAAAAAAAGATGAAAATATGTACAAATCTGTCAGGAGACATGATAGAGACTGGCTTTTTTGGTCTCCTTTCTTTATTGCTGTTTCCTTGAGCCAAGCTGTAAATAGTCATTTTTACTTTGTGTTGCTTTAGTTTTCTTCTTTGTCTTTGTTTTTTTGTTTAATGTCAGGGTCACTTTTGTTTTGTGAGACAAAACAAAACTGTAAAGAAATCCGATGCAGAAAGTAAACCATGAGTCTTAGTTTTGCAGTTTCATTGGGTTACTACAAATCCGCTCGTGGCTATTTTGAAGGCACTTACATTTTTGATATACAACTTTAAAATATCAAAATACCAAAAGAAAGAAAACAAAAACATCTGATCTTAAAATTTTGTCTGATTTATTTTATTTCATCATTTTGAGTGTATTTTGCTGTTCCTCTATGAGGACATTTAAAGATGTAAAATAAATTTTGTTTAACACATCTGCAGATCATTAAATGGTCATTCACTCTGTCTTGTTGGTGTTTGTTTGCTTCACTCTGGTCTCCATTCACTATCAATTTACACTGTGATACTTCCCTATCATGTATCATATGCATTCGTATTGGTAAACTTTTTAGTCATTTCAATTTTGCATTGTACAAAATGTCAGCCTTTGAAATTTAAAATGAATCAATTAACATTTAGTTGGAGATCAATGGTCTACAGTGTTAGTGTCACTTATAGCCACTTGATGGCAGTGTTGTGATACTGAAACCACGTTCTGTATTTTCATGTAATGGTTTATGATGGGGTTTGGCTACAGTGAACTTAAGTATTTTGTGTGGTTATACAGTAAACATGAAAAAGAGGGAAAGATGAGAGGTTTATTCCTCAGGCACAGCGCATCTGATTATGATAAACCTAAATTAAATCTCAAAATTAAAACTTTTCAATCTTTTGAAGAACAAATGGCCTGTAACTGCCATTATAAATACAATACTATTCCATCGGAACATATTTTTTCCTTATTTATTAAAAAAATATATATTTTGAGAAATGTCCTTTTTTTGTACAGCCTACACAATAGAAGTCAGTTTGGTACATTCTTTTGTGCTCTGCTTAGAAAGAAATGTATGCAGGTTTGGAACGACATGAGGGTGAGTTGATGAAAATTTTTGGTTAAAATATTTTAAGGTGTCATTGTAGTGTAATTATATATTAAAGTACTGAGTAATATTAATTAACATGTACTTGCGGGTTAGGGTTGGATTAGGGTTTGGTTGAGGGTTAGTTGCATGTTATTATGCATAATTTACTGTTATGTAAGGACACTGTAAAATAGTGTTAGCCCTTGTTAATTTTGGGGTGAACTATGCCTTTTAAAATATTTCGTGTTATTTTGACGTTTTGCTACTTTCCAAAAAGTCTTTTATTTGCCTGTGTTTTTTGTGTGAATTTGGTGAGTTGGAAGAGCAAACTCTGATCCAAATGTATCCCATCCGCGACCACAACGCTTATATTGAAGAATCTTGCTCCAAAGCTGTCGCTTTTATGTCAGGTTTAATCACAAAATATATTTTATCAGGTATATATATATATATATATATTGAACTTGAATTTTAATTGAACGAAAGAACATATTCTTAGAGACATATTCTTATAGATAAATAATAATAATAAAAAAAAATAATAAAAAAAACTGCGTCAAAATCTGCAAACTTTGTTCTATAAATCTGAAAGACAAAACGAAGGGCATGTTGCAAAGCCCTCAAAGACAAATCGCTCTCCTCATCTTTCTTTTCATCCCAGTAGGAAGAGGGGTGTGTTTATGGAAAAAAAAGGAGGTGACGAATATAAGATTTACAATGCTATGACAAACCAAGACCAGGAATGTTAATTGACACCCACTCCCGGCAAAGCGCAATGATGCATTTGCAGGAAGTATGAGGATCTGGAGGGCCCAAAATAATGAAAGGAAAGTAAAGGTATAGCATCTATATGACTCCTCTACAGTTATAAACCAGCCCGACGGCAAAGGTAGCAGCAGGAAGTTTGGTATGTACTAAAAACCACAGTTGGAGGACATTGCAACAAGAACAGGCATGCAAATATCTAATTCATTCAAATTGCTGGGAGGGTTTTTGACTGCTTTATTGAGCCCATATGTCGGTGGCCAAGTACATGTGATATGATACTTTGATGGTATTTTTATAAACACATCAGGCCGCTTTAGAAAGATCTGTTTTGCATTTCTCCTTAAACCCTTACTTATGGAAATTAGAACACACAAATATGATAAGTATTTGCTCATGACCACCACAGTTATGAAGTTATACATGTTTTAATTGTTTTTTATTTGGTTATTGTGTATTATGTGTGTGCGCAGGTGCAGGAATGAAGGGCAAAAGTGTCTCTTTAAGGCACGTGTGTGTACTGTCCTTCATCCTTCTAGCTCTCTGTAATTCTATGGGCATGAACCACACTGACTGGGCTCCAAAATACCAAATTAGAAAGAGGAGGAAAATGTTAAGAATGCTGAAAATACTGGGGTTGGCTTTTCTTTTTCTGATAAGTGTTCACTTTCCACCAGTCATTTGGGCACGCTAAACATCCTTGCAATTTAAATTATCTCTCAAGCTGCTGAGCTGATACATTCCTTATCACAAATAGACATGTGCAGCGTGTGGAGTCATTTTGTTTCCTTCAACCTAAAACTTGGAATCCTGGGTTTATTAACTCCACATATCAAACAAGATAACAGGGTGGGAGTTGATTGTGGAGGAATGTAACTGTCAATGTGCTCAAATGGTAGTACTGAGACATGGAGACATTCTGAGAAATGTTGTAACTGAATGACTAGCCTCAGTTACAGTGTGTGGTTACTGAAACTAAGATGTTGAAGGATGTAGAAATCATGTAACTGATCATTTACACCTGGAGACAGTCTGAAATAAATACTACAAATACAGAGACAGACATAACACAAGCACAGGTAAAGGCAGGGTCACATTAGCAAAATTTAGCAGCCAATAAAGGGTCCATTGTCAAGTGTAGTGAAGCATTCGTGTGACCAACTTAAACACGAACGAAAACACTATCAAAATGCTGGATTTTGCAACATATGACCACACATGCATTGACTGACCAATCAAGATCATTATACAATTATGCTAAACTTGATTCTGATTGGTCAATTATTTTTTTGTCTCATGTCAATAACTGCACTTCACCATTGTCCCAAATGAAGCACTACACTCTGCACTTATACTATATGCACTATGTAGGCTACTCAACCATGTGTATGAATTTTACACGAGTAGTTTAATTTGTCATTCAACATCGAAGTCTGATAGCCCCTCTTCCTCCCCTATGTAATTAAAACTGCGACGATTGAGTCCATCAAAAAAAGTAACCATTTTTAGACACACACCCCCTAACTTCCCACAGCACTTCCCCTTGGGGGAATCCCCACCACCATTTTAAAGTGTGTTCAACTTCGTCAACTGGACGAAGGAAGTTTATTTGGACAGACCCTCGACCCCTCGATTTTGACAGAGGGAGCAAGTCGTCTCGGTTACGGATGTAACCCTCGTTCCCTGAGTAGGGAACGGAGACGTTACGTCGGAATGACGGAGAATGGGGGTTTCGCATAGAAAGCCAATCCTCTTCGAGTATTTTAAAATGAGCCAATGGCCTGAAAATGCCTTGGGTCTGCGGAATTTGCATAGCGTATCTCCGCCCCACCTCATGGGTATAAAAGGAGGAAGCGGACGCAACCGCAGTATGTCTTCGCTGAGGAGCTGAGACTGAACTCAGGCGTCTACCCAGCGGTACAGCGGAAGTGGCAGGGAGACATAACGTCTCTGTTCCCTACTCACGTTCCCTTTCGTAGTCACTCCGAGTTATGTTGGAATGACGGAGAATGGGGGTCCGTGCCATCACGCCACCTTCACAGCTGTCTTCCAGTGCCCTGCGAAAGTCTGGACTCCTAACAACTTAGCTTATGAACCAGGAGTCCTACTTAACACAGGAACACCAAGGTACACTGGGGAGCATACTTCCCGAGGAATCTAGCCCACCTTGTGATGCTGCGATCGACATCGCATCATCCTCTGGAGCACCGAACGAAACAGACGGTACCTGCGAAGAGGCAGGCGTCTGAAGCGTTTCAGTGCTCGCTGGCTCCAACACTGGTCCGGTGGGTGTGGTCACCGTCACCGTCAGATCACCCTGTCCGCGAGCCGAAGAGCTTCCCCTGGAAGAGGAAGCAGAACGGGTAGCGGACACGGGACTCTCACTGTAAAATCATTGAGTCTAGATCGAAGTGTTGCGATGGTCATGTTCCCACAGAAGGAACATGACTCATCCACGAACGCTGCTGCTGCATGCTGAATGCCCAGACACACAAAGCAGCGATCGTGCCCATCAGAGGACGACATGAATCGACTGCACACAGAAGAACATGGGCGAACCATCTTTAAAAAGACGTGCCACGTGCAGCTCTTTCAATAGAGAGGAGGAAATTCACTCTTTCAGCGTTGAGGCGACCAGGGAGAAGCGCAAAGTCTGGCAGACCACTGCACAGATCGCAGGCAATGCAGAATCTCGCTGGGTACCGCCGTCACACCAACACTGAAGAGGACGCTCGTCTCGAAGAGTTGTACTCAGTGCAAATGGCTTGTGGAGTGAAGAAATCTCTTGGCTCCGTAGCGAAAACATACTGCGGTTGCTTCCGCTTCCTCCTTTTATCCCCATGAGGTGGGGCGGAGATACGCTATGCAAATTCCGAAGACCCAAGGCATTTTCATGCCATTGGCTCGTTTTTAAATACTCAAAGAGGATTGGCTTTCTATGCGAAACCCCCATTCTCCGTCATTCCGACGTAACTCGGAGTGACTACGAAAGAGAACTACTCATTTGTACACTTCAGGAAGATCGTTTACCCACAAGTGATCAAGGGCTTAAAGCGTTTCAGTTCAATCCAAGGGAAGGCCATAAAAAATAGATTTAAAAGCAGTCAAAAATTCCGTTTTTTCAAGCGGTAAGCTTGTAATGTTTTTAACTCCAGTAAGTACTGGTGGATTTCCACTTATACACTGAGTTTCAGTATGAGGAGTATGAGCTCCAGTTCACGCGTCGGCGCCTCCGTGTCGTGATTATCTATAATCGTCTGCTTTTACTTCTATTTATTGAATCCAGGCAATTGGTTGATGAAACATTGATTAAAATCAAGATAAAATCAATACTTCACTTTAAAGAAGTCTTTGCGCTTTTCTGTTTGAGGTCTGTGAAAGTTTTAAAGCAGCCTTTAAGTGCCACTTCAGAGCGCTTGCGTCCGTAACGGAAAACTGTCATGTCTGTAACTTTGTTTTTTCCTCATAAATGCGAACACTTACCTGGAACAGGTTTTTCAAAAGATTTATACACTCATAGATTTAGCTATTTATGTGCAATACAAATGATTTATTATGATTGCAACCTTGTAGAGTAATTGTTTGTTTTTCAATATGTTTTCCAGGTAAATAAGTGTT